ATGGGGCAGAGGAGTCCAGACCCGAGGGCACAATTCCTTCATCAATGACTCCCCAGACAGAATCAATTTGCTGTGATCAATTTTCTTTCCAGACCTCAGAGTGTGCCCCTAATGGAGCCCTTGCCTGCTGATGCCCCGGGTGCCTCATGTGAAATGAAAAATGGGAATTTTGGTGGATTACCACCTTTCCACCTCCCACCTTCAACTCCTGTTCTGAAATCCCAAACTCCTCAAGGCTCAGGGCTTGGAAGAACCTCGCTGTCCTCAGCTCCCGAGCCTTCCTCCACTAGGTGATGCTGTGCCTCTTGGAATTGTTAAAAACTGGATGAATTTCTCGCACTTTTGTCTGAAATTCATGGCTCTTCCCCTGGCAGAGCTGAAATTATTCCCACTTGGCAGGGAGTGCTGTCCTTTCTCTGAGAGCAGGAGGTGCAGGGCACAGCAGGAGCCGAGGGGGGATTAAAGTGCCACCCTCCCAGTGAGAGAGAGCCACAGCACCCCAGAAACGTGCCCAGGATTTCCCGAGCAGAAACACAAAGCACTGGAATGCCCTTCCCAGGGAGGTGCTGGAATCACCATCTCTGGATGTGTTTAAAAACAGACTGGACATGGCACTGAGTGCTATGGTCTGGGTGAGGTGTGAGGGCACAGGTTGGGCTCGATGATCTTAGAGGTCTCTTCCAACCTCATCATTCTGGGATTCTGTGAAATAAACCCCAGACAGACGCGGGCAGGGAGAGGGGCTGGGATGGGTGAGGGCAGGACGGGGTGGCTGAACCCCCCTTTGTCCCAGGGTCCCCTCAAAGGGACACCTTGTGGGGGCTCTGGTTGAGGAGAGCCATTTGAGGAGAGCGATTTGAGGAGAGCGATTTGGGATTTCCCAGCCCTGATCTGCCGCTCCCGTCTGGGCTGAGATGTGACAAAAACCTCCTTGTGCCCTTGTCCCCGTGCCCGGGCACCTGCACAGCCCTGCTGCCGTGCCCACCTGTGCGTGCAGGGCAGGTGCAGGGCTGGGAGCCCTGGGCAGCCCGAAGAGCCCTGGGCACCCCAGCACAGGGGCACAGAGCCCTGGGCAGCCCTGGGCACCCCAGCACAGGGGCACAGAGCCCTGGGCACCCCAGCACAGGGGCTCAGAGCCCTGCCCAGCCCTGGGCACCCCAGCACAGGGGCACAGAGCCCTGGGCACCCCAGCACAGGGGCACAGAGCCCTGGGCACCCCAGCACAGGGGCACAGAGCCCAGGGCAGCCCTGGGCAGCCCAGCACAGGGGCACAGAGCCCTGGGCACCCCAGCACAGGGGCACAGATCCCTGGGCACCCCAGCACAGGGGCACAGAGCCCTGGGCACCCCAGCACAGGGGCACAGAGCCCTGCCCAGCCCTGGGCACCCCCCAGCACAGGGGCTCAGAGCCCTGGGCACCCCAGCACAAGGGTGCAAATCTCCCGAATTCTGCCGGTGTCCAGTTCCCTGTGCCCGATGCCAGTGCCCGCGGTGCCGGTTCCCGGTTCCCTGTGCCCGGTTCCCGGTGCCGGTTCCCGGTGCCCGGTGCCCGTTCCCGATTCCCGATTCCCGGTGCCGGTTCCCGATTCCCAGTGCCCGGTTCCCGTTCCCGGTGCCCGGTGCCGGTTCCCGATTCCCAGTGCCCATTCCCGGTGCCCGGTGCCCGCCCCGCACTCACCAGCGCCGGCCGCAGCCGCACAGGTTGCCCATGGCGCTCCCCGGTTCCCCGCCGAGCCCGAGCGCTCCCCGGGCACGCTGAGCTCGTATTTCCTGGTTCCTGCTCGGGCCCGGCTCTCAGGGAGTGTCCCCGGTGTCGGGTTTCGGAGCTGGCCCCGTGTGCCATCTACCGGAGCCCCGGCGGGACGGGGAGCGTCCCCGGGCTGAGCCAGCCCTGCGGCTCCAGCTGGGCTCTGTCCCTGCCCAGGGTGAGCCCCTGGACTCAGCCAAGCCCCCAACTGCCCGTTTATTCCAGTTTATTAAGTTTATTCCAGTCCACATCTGGTTTACCATTGTGAAAAATGCATGTTTTACCTCAGGGGTCAGGGCAGGAGGTCGGGCACTGGGGGCACCTGCTCTGCACTCAGTGCCCTCACTGTGCCCCCCGAGCCTGCTGGTTTGCCCAGTGTCATTGGAGAGGTGGCACTGTCACCCTCCAATCCACTGCCACTTTTAGGGAACTATAAATGTTGGAGTAAGAAAATAAACTCCCCTTTTCCTCACTTTGAGAGCAGTGGTGTGTGGTGTGTTCTTTTGTGCCCTATAACAGCACACAGCAAAGCCTGCAGCTGCCCAGGAGTGGCAGAAGGAGAAGGATTCTGCTTTGGAAGGGTCACAGCTGGCTCTGGGTGAGCAGCACTGTGCGCTGCCTTGCTCTGACACTGCTTGGGGCTGGAGAAACACCACAGAATTCAGGATTGGATCTGTGCAGACAGCTGGGATTCAGCGTTCTGCAGAGCCCAGGTGTTCCCAGGAGCCTGTCCCTGCCTGGGAAGTGCAGACTCTGTGTCTCTGGCCTTGCCACAGACGCTGTTGTTTTAATGAGCCAGCGTCTGTTGTGATTCCCGGGATAACTCGGCCTTTGTTGCTTTGTGGGGAAGGAGCAAAAAAAACCGGCTGGGATCCTGTTCCCATCAGCCTCTCCCACAAACACTGGAGCTGCCGCTTCGAGCTCCACCAGAGAAACAGAAAAGCATCACAAACACTGGCGGGGACGGCAGCTCTTGGCTGCCACCCCACATTCCCTGTCTGCAGGGACAGCCCCGGGCACTGCCAGCCCTGTCCTGCACAGTGACACCGGCACTGCCAGCCCTGTCCTGCACTGTGACACCGGGCACTGCCAGCCCTGTCCTGCACGGTGACACCGGGCACTGCCAGCCCTGTCCTGCACGGTGACACCGGGCACTGCCAGCCCTGTCCTGCACGGTGACACCGCTGTGACACCGGCACTGCCAGCCCTGTCCTGCACGGTGACACCGGGCACTGCCAGCCCTGTCCTGCACGGTGACACTGGGCAGTGCCAGCCCCTGTCCTGCCCAGGCACTGCCAGCCCCTGTCCTGCACAGTGACAGGGCTGTGACACCAACACAAGCACCCCGAGGGGGAGAACGGACAGGGGACAGCAAAAGCAGAGCCAGGAGGAGCTGGAATTGGCATTGCTAATTCAGGGCATATTTATTTATTTATTTGTTTGTTTGTTCATTTATTTATTTTTTATTTATTTTATTTATTTTATTTTATTTATTTATTTTATTTATTCTGGGCACAAGCATCCAGGTCCCGCAGGCACCGGGGCAGGGTGGTGTGGCTCACAGAGCTGGCACCTGTGCAGTCAGAAATGCAGGAGGGAGAGCTCTGGGCTGGTTTGGGCACTCCTTGTGTGTCAGAATCCCCTCCCTGGGCAGCCCCTGGAGCTGCTGTGCCAGGCTGTGCCAGGTGTGCCAGGCTGTGCCAGGTGTGCCAGGCTGTGCCAGGTGTGCCAGGCTGTGTGTGTGCCCTCCCTGCCCATCTCCTGCTGGCCATCCCCATGCCCAGGCAGGGCAGGGGCTCATCCCCATCTCAGGAAAGCTGCAGGGAGCAAAGGGACCAGCAGCATTTCTTGCCAGAGCAGGGACAAGGAGAAGCCTTTCAGAGCTGCTGCCAGAGTGTGCCTGTGGACCTGAGGAAATGACGGCCATGCCCGAGCCCACACACACCCCTGGGGCTCTGCCTCACCACAGCGCTCAGGAGCTCAGCCCTCCTGAGATCTGGGGTCTGGCTGGGTGAGATTCAAAGCCCCCAGCTCAGAATTATGCCTGCAATTCTTATTAATGACTTCCACAATGCCTGTTGGAAAGGTGATTTTTTTATTTTGACACTTGATCTGGTTTTACCTCAGGGGTCAGGGCAGGAGGTCGGGCACTGGGGGCACCTGCTCTGCACTGTGCCCCCCGAGCCTGGCAGGGCTGCTCCTCATCTGACTGATCCCAGGGCTGGCAGTGCCCTGGGAAAGAGAAGAGAGCTGAAAATAGCTGGGCAGTGCCCTGCTCTTGGCCTGTCAGGGGATGAAAACCAGCCTGATACCCGTGCTCCAGTCCCAAGGGATGTGCTGGGGGCCTGAGGGGGCATTGCTGGCCCTGGCATTGCTGCCCTGGGCATTCTTACCCTGGCATTGCTGGCCCTGGCATTGCTGCCCCAGGCATTCCTGCCCCAGGCATTCCTACCCTGGCCATTCCTGCCCCAGGCATTGCTGGCCCTGGCATTGCTGCCCCTGGCCATTCTTGCCCCTGGCCATTCCTGCCCCTGGCATTGCTGGCCCTGGGAGGGGTGGGCAGAGCCACAGAGAGAGGGGGAATTCACATCCCCCCAAGATTTTGGAGCCTCCCCTCCTCTCTGTTGGGAGAGCTGCAGCCAGGCATGCCAGGCACCCCCAAATTTAGGCACTGACACAGCATTTTGTGTGCCTGGCTTGGCCCTGATGACACAAGGGTGGCAACTGTCACCTGCTGAGCCCTGGGGCAGCAGCTGCCAGCGGCAGCACACACGATCCCTGTCCCCATCACGGGGACATTGCTCACAGTGCCTGCAAAAGGGGCCCAGTGCAGCCCCTCCCTGCCTTCCCAGACAGGGCTGGGGCACCAGCCAGGCATTGGGGGCTGAGCAGAGCCTCTCCCTCCAGTAATTTGGGTTCAGTCCCCCCACAAAGGGGCTGAGCTGGCACAGGCTGTGCTGGGCATTAATTTGTGCCCCATTAATTGGGCTCATTCCAGCTGCAGCTCTGGAGATGCTCAGGGACCTTCCAAGGGCTCATCACTCCTCCTCACCTTTTTGTCCTTGAGATCACCTCACTCTGGGCTCCCCAGAGCAGCAGCTGGGCCGGGGGGTGAGGCACAGAGGCGGCCACAGCCCCTCCATGTCCCCTTGGTGCCACTTCCAGAGGTGAGCCCAGCCCCAGGTGGGCACTGCCCACCCTTCCTGCTGCACAGGAGCAACACCAATCCAAGGCAAACACCAGAAGGGCAGAGGCAGATTTATTCCTCTCTCCTCCTGATTGCTGCAGGCACTTTGACAGACCAACACCCACCCCAAAATCTCAGAATCCAGGCACTGGGATCCCCTTTTCTCTCTTCCCAGTGCCCTTCTGGGCTAGAGCTCAGCCCATTGAGTCACAGCCTCACAGTTAAGGGCAGGAGTGACCCTGGGGTGAGAGCAGAGCTCCCTGCACGCTCACCTGACCTAGAAAACAACTTGCATTACACTCACACTCACACTCACGCTTCAGCCCCACTCTTTTTTCCAGTTCCAAGTCCCTTTTGTTCCCAGCCATCAGCCTCGAGAAGCATCAGCGTGGCTGCTAAACACTGATGGTGACAAACAGGGCTCTGGCACTGCAGATTCCCCATCCCTGTCCCTCCCACCTTCCCACATCTGCAGCCTTTAGGACTTTTCCTTCTCTTTTCCTTCCTCGGCCGGCTCCTCCTTCCCCGGGGGCTGCTCCTGCCGGGTGATCTCCACCTCGTTGACCCTGGCCTTCACCTCCCTGCCCGTGCGGGGAGCCACGATGCTCAGGATGCCATCGTGGGACAGGGTGGCCCTGACCAGCAGCGGGTCCACGTCCAGGGGCAGGATGTAGGTCCTGGTGAACTCCCTGGAGACGAAGCCGTGGCGGTCGGCCCTCTGCGGGTGCTGCCCCGCCACCTCCAGCAGGTTGTCCACGGTGCGGACGCTCAGCTCGTCGGGCAGGAACTGGCAGACATCCAGGAACACCTGGAACTTGTGCTGGTTCAGGCAGACCTCCGAGGTGCCCCTCTCCAGCTGCTTGTTGATGCGGGGTCGGATGTAGTAGCCGTGGTACAGGGCAGGGGCTAAAATCTCCGACGGGGAAACACCTGCAGAGGACACCCCGTGAGGAGCGTGGGGCTGGAGCAGCAGCAGGAGCAGTGTGGGACCTGGGGAACACCTTGGCTTTGCCCCATGCCCACAGCAGGGGTGGAGCCTGCTGCAGTTCCCACCTTTGTGCCCCTTTGTGCCCACCCAGAGCCGCATCCCTGCCAGCTGCTGCGTGCCACGGGCTGCCCAGAGCTGGGGCTGGCATCCAGCTTCGCATGTTGGGTGCGCTGGGAGGGCCTGGTGGGTGCTCTGGGAGCTCAGCAGAGCAGAGCCCACAGCCAGGGATGGGCATGGAAACTGCTGATGGTGAAGGACTAAAGGCCTTTTGTGTGCCATTGTCCACAGGGCTTTCCTTGGAGCTTTTTGCCTTTTCACGCTGTTGTGCTGGTGCTGAATGGTTCTGCTGCTGCCCACATTCCTTCCCCCTGGCCAGCCACTGCCCAGCTTTGTGCTGAACACCCCAGCTCAGCTTTTCTCCACATCCCCCCCGGCTGGAAAAGCTTTTCCCCCCTCCCCTGAGTGCTTTTGCTCCATGTTTTCACAGCATGTGCACGAATGCCAGAGCATGGCTGGCATCAGGGAGGGAGGGATGGGCAGCACTGGGCATGGATGGGGAAGTGGACATGAAGAGACAGACCCTGGCTATTCCCTGGTCATTCCCTCACTATTCCCTAGTTTTTCCCTGGATATTTTCTGTCTGTTCCCTGAATATACCCTGGTTATTCCCTGCTTTTTCCCTGAATATTCCCTGCTTTTTCCCTGTTTTTCCCTGGCTATTCCCTGGTTATTCCCTGGTTATTCCCTATTTTTTCCCTGGTTATTCCCTATTTTTTCCCTGTTTTTCCCTGGTTATTCCCTGCTTTTTTCCTGGCTATTCCCTGTTTTTTCCATGGCTATTCCCTGGCTGTTCCCCCCTGATCTGATCCAGATTCCTCCACTCATTCCTCAGCTCCAGCTTCCCCCTCTGGAGCTCAAGCTCCCCAGAGGGAATTCCACCAGCCCTGCAGCAGCAGAGGGGAGAAAGGTGCAAAGAGGGGGAGGAGGGAGGGGATCCCACTCCCTTCCTTACCTTCTCCAAAGTTCTGGTCGTAGATCTTGCTGGGGTTGGCAAATTCGTACTCGGAGCTCATGGGGTAGGCGTGGGGCACGGTGCGGGCGGCCATGGTGTGTCAGCACAGACACCTGCCTTCTTCCCTTCCTCCTTCCCTTCCTTCTTTCCTTCTTTCCTTCCTTCTTTCCTTCTTCCCTTCCTGCCTTCCCAGCCCTCGCTGCCTCTCCAAGTGAGGGCTGCAGGCTGCAAGGCTCCAGCTGGGTGGATTCCAAAGGGAGGAGTGAGTGAGTGAGTGAGTGAGTGATAAAAAAGATGGACCAAAATAGCCCCACACAGGCCCCAGGATGCCGGGCCAGGGCAGCTCCTCGCTGCATTCCAGCAGGGAGGGCAGGGGACACCTTGGGGTCCCTCCTGGAGCAGGGGGTGGATGGGGAGCCCAGCACAGCCTGGATTCAGGCGCAGGAGAGACCCCAGGAGAGACACATGGAGTGGTTTGTAAGGTCAGGGAGCTGCCAGCCCTGTGCTGCTCTCCAAAAGCCTCCATCAGATCCAGAAGGAATCTGCTTATCTCTGGTAGCCACATGGCTGGACAGCACCCATTAGGAGAATGATGGTCTTTGTTAGTTCCAGCCACAGCTGCAGAGCAGCAGGAATGAGCTCTTCATCTTCTGGAGTCCTCCTTGCTCCTCAGGGATGAGGCTTTGAGGGCGTGGGGAGCCACAAAGTGTGGAAGCAAACATGGGTAAAGGCAGCAATTCTTTGCAAAAGCTGGATGAGATTGTTCAGCTCACTTTGAAGCTCACTGTGAGCTTGGGGCCAAACTGTGCCCCAAATCCACTGCCCACTGTGAGCTTGGGGCTCAAACCCCTCCTGTTCCCTCTGTGAGGAGCCTGACTTGCCCAGGAGCTGAGTTCAAGTCTCCTTTTCCTTTAGTGGGGAAGGGCTGCAGGAGTGCAGCAGGGATCCAGGTCCCACTGCTGCCACCTCCCCATCCTCAGCCCTGCTGGCTGCCCAGGCTCTTCCTTGGCCAGGGTTTGGCACAAGGCCACGGAGAAATGCTGGTGCCAGCCCTCCCCAGTTAACCCAGGCTCTGAACGTGGCCTAAGTCCAGCTTTACTGAGCAGGGCTGGTGGGCTGCAGGTGCTGCAGCAGGGGAGCAGTGCCCAGCTGAGCTCTGCACACCCTGAAACCAGAGATTTCCCTGAGCCCTGCAGTGTGGGAGAGCAGGTGCAGTGCTGCTGATGTAATGGGGACTTGGAGTGGGTATTTATGGCCTGGGCTGCTGCACAGAGCAAATCCTGCCCCCTATTCTTGCAGGCAAGCCGAGAGGAAGAGGCTCAGAGCCTTTGGCAAAGGGCTGGCAGAGCTGGCAGTGCCTCTGAGCAGAAATTGTGTTTAAATTGCCAGCTCCCACAGGCAGAGAAGCTCTTGCCCTTCAACAGTTGCTAGGCTGAGCCCATTCCTGTGATTTGGGTTCATGGGTGAGGCGGGAATTAAAGTAAATGCAGGAATTGCTGGGGGGAGAGCTGCAGGAGGGCAAGTGAGTGCAGGGGCAGGGGCGTTCTGCAGCACCCTGGAGGCCCTGACCATGCCCAGGTTTTCTCTCTGGGGTCACAGAGTGGGGAAAATGTGAGAAAAAGCCCAAGCAAAAGCCAAGAGGAGAGATCCATCCTTTATTCACATCACCCCCTGCAACAGCCGCCACAACCAACCCCAACACCCCGTAATAAGGGGAGGGGTTAGATGCAACCCTAAAAATAAAACAAATTCTATCATATCAAATTCTATCATAAATTCCTACTTGGCCTCTCTCCGAGATCTCTGGCCTGAAAAACCATTGTTACAAAATTTAACTACAGGAATGCCTAACCCTGCAGCTGCAGTGCCAGGAGCCTGGCAGAGCCCTCCTGGCACCTTCCCTCACCCTGACTTTGGGGCTCCCTTTGCTGCTGGGACAGGCTCAGCCCTGCTGGGGGATGCTGAGCTCCTGGGAACAAACAAGGGCCCCTTGTCCTGCTCCTGCCATCCAAAGATAGGAGCTGCATTGATCCCGCTGGCATCCAGGGCAGCTGGAGCACGGGCCAAGCCTGCCCAGCACTGTGGGTAAACAGCACGTGGGCAGCAGGGCGGGCACCAGCCACTCCAGCTTCTTGCTGCCCCATTGGGCTCCTCTTCCTCCTGTCCCCTTCCCCCTCCTCCTCCTCCTCCTCAGCAGCGCGCTCAAATCCCTCAGACAGCGACTGGGCACCGCCGAAGGGCCCAGCCCAGGAGTGGGACAATAAAATCCCTGACACCACTGTTCAAGAGGCCTCGGGGGGGTGGAAGGCCAGGCCAGCTGCACGCCTATAAAGCTGTCCCCGCTCCCAGCACTGCAGCACAGTTGTTTGCCAGGCTCCTCCAGCGCTCTCCAATGGATATCACCATCCACAACCCCCTGATCCGCAGACCTTTCTTCTCCTGGTTGGCACCCAGCCGGATCTTTGACCAGATTTTCGGGGAGCACCTGCCCGAGTCGGAGCTGCTCCCCGTGTCCCCCAGCTTCAGCCCCTTCCTGATGAGATCCCCCATCCTCCGGATGCCCAGTTGGCTAGAGACAGGACTCTCTGAGGTAACCTTTGCTTCTTGGGGCTCTTTTTGGGCTCTGCTGCGGGCCCAGGAGAGCTGGGAGCGTGGAAGATGCTCCTAGGTGGTTTTTATCAGGAAAAAGGCTGGGGGGGAAGGTGCTGCCTCTGCATTGTTTGGGATGGAGCAAATCTGGCCATAGTGATGGGGACAGAGCTCAGCGTGCATGGCGGGTCACCCTAGGAGCAGGCAGAGGAAAGGAGGAAGCCTAATTGCCCTAATTTCTCTGATGTCCATAATTTCTCAAATTTCCCTAATTTCTCTGATTTCCCTAATTTCTCAACTTTCCCTAATTTCCCAGTCTGCCGCTCCAAACTTTCAATCCCACTCCCACCTGAGAAGCAAAGAGCACAGGGACAGTGGGGTCCTCATGCCAAGCAGTGCAGGAGCCCAAGGCTGCTGAGAGAAAAGGGGCCTATTTTAAACAACCCCTGCCCTGAAAAACAGAGTTTTAATAAGATCCAGGACCCAGAGGATCATGGAGCAGGCGCCTCCTCCCTCCAAGGGCTGAGCCAAGAAGCTTTTGCCTGTCCTGCAAGTCAACTCTGTTATTCACAAGGAGCTTGAGGAGCTATTCCAAGCAGAAGGAGTGAAAGTATTATTTTAATCCTTGCATAATGTCCCTCTTGATTCAGTGCCCTGGGTCTGGCTGCCCAGTGAAGCAGCCATAATAAAGAGTTCAGTTTTCAATCAAGAGTCAGTTTTAACCAATTCAGGTGGAGAATCTCAGGTCCTGCAGGGATGGGCATTAGCACAAGGCCAGCAAGGGACAGAGCCACTCAGATCAGACCCCAAAATAAAGGTCAGTGTGCGTGTAGAGACCAGCCTGAGTCTTGGCCTGCTGCATTCTTTTTTAAGCTGAATCCCTCACCTGCTCTTTTCTGGAATCACCTCCTTGCTCTTGCTCTTTTCTGAAGTCACCTCCTGCTTTCTGCAGATGCGGCTGGACAAGGACAAATTCTATGTGAACCTGGATGTGAAGCATTTCTCCCCTGAGGAGCTGAAGGTGAAGGTGCTCGGGGACATGATTGAGATCCACGGCAAGCACGAGGAGCGCCAGGTACCCCCTGCTTTCAGTCACCCCTGAGGGCACCCCCTGACCCCTGGTGACTGCAAAACAGCCCCCTGCCCATCTCAAATATTTGTCATTGTTTTTTAATCAAGATGCTCCGTGCAATTTCCCCCAAGCTGATCCCAGACAGGGCAGCAAGAGGGTGGAGGTTTATTGCTGATGTTGCATGAACTGTGAACTGAACTGGAAAATCATCTGTGAAATGGGAATTTTTGGGCTTCCGCTCTTTCTGGGAAGAGGCCAGGAATGCAGGGAGATGTCCAATGAGCTAAAAAGTAACTAATAGTCTAAAATTGTTAACTATCTAAAATTAACTAACAATCTAAAATTAACTAACAATCTAAAAATTAACTAACAAGCTAAAAATTAACTAACAATTAAGCCACATAAAAAATCAGTGCATTGCCCTGTGTGTTACCTTTCCTAGGCCCAGCTATCAGTTTCTAATCCTTAAAAGTTGTGTTCTGCTGTCACTCATCCCTTTCCCTGCTGGCTCTGGAGACGCCTGTGAACACCAGGCAGGCAGAAACACAAAGCCATGCCCAGAGCTGGATGTAAAGGCATTTGCCAGTCCCTGGAATTGTCACCCCGAGGAGCACAGCGTGTCACCAGCAGATGCAGCACTGGGGGCCTGTAACCCTGACACCATTTCTGGAACCCTTTTTTGGCTAAGAAGGCAACCAAGCAGTGGGACCAGGCTCTGAGGGTGTCTGGGGCAGGTGTGGCTGGGGTGGCACCTGGGGAATGGCACAGGGTGGGCACAAAGCCTCCCCCTGTAAACTCTGGGTACCTGCATAGCAAAAAAGGAGGAGAAAATTATGAGGACGCTAATAAATTACATTATTATACTATATTATATATATTACTATATCTATACATAAATATATATATAAATATATAAATAATATATATATTTTATATATATAATATATATAATATATATATATATATTACTATATTATATTATACTATATTGTTATATTATTATATTATTATATTATTATATTATATTACTATATATTATACTATATTATTATACTATATTATATTATATTATATTACTATATTATATTATACTATATTACTATTATATTATAGTAATATAGTAATTAGATAATAATTACTATTATATTAAAGTAATTATATATAATTACAATATTGTATGATATATATTATATATTATATATTATATATTATATATATTGTATATAATATGTAATATATTTTTATATTATATTCTATATATTATATAGAATATATAATGTAATATATTCTATATTCTATATTCTATTATAATATATAGTATATTATATTACACTATATTACTATATTACATTACACTACATTAATGGCTCAGCAATTCTTTTCTTCTATATCAAGTCTTGCTTTCATTTCTATATCAAAACTTGCTTCCTCCTTCAGACTCTACATCCGAAAACCTTCCTGCCAGGCACACACACACACACACACACACACACACGCACACATCTGTGGGACTTTCCTGCCCAAACTTCCATCCTTCCCCGCGCAGGACGAGCACGGTTTCATCGCCCGGGAGTTCAGCAGGAAGTACCGGATCCCGGACGATGTGGACCCTCTGACCATCACCTCCTCGCTGTCCCTGGACGGGGTGCTGACCGTCAGCGCTCCCCGCAGGCAGAGCGATGTCCCCGAGCGCAGCATCCCCATCACCCGCGAGGACAAACCCGCCATCGCAGGCGCCCAGAGGAAGTGAGGGGCTGCCCTGCTGGCCCCAAAGCCACCCTGGAGGGACATTCCAGAGCTCTTCCCTCCGCCAGGTGCCGGCTGTGCCGAACGGCTGCTGGTGTTATTTATGCTGAGTAAGTTTACTAACGAATAAAACCATGGAGAAGCAGTTTGGATTGGTTTGTTTCGGGGTTGCGTGGAGGAAGGTGGATAAAAGGTGCAGGGTGACGTCGTTTTATGGGGGGCAGGCTGCGGTGGTGTTTGAGGGTCCCAGGATGAGGGAAGAGATGAGAATCCTGACTCCATGTTCCAGAAGAGATGAGAATCTTGATGAGAATTTCATCAGAAGAGATGAGAATCTTGACTCCATGTTTCAGGCTGATTTATTCTTTTATGATTTATATTATATTAAAAGAAAATATATATATAAACTAAAATATATATATACTAAATATACTAAATAAATATATATGTATATACTAAATATACTATATAAATATGTAGTATATTTAGTATATATATTTATTATATATACTATATAAATATATATTTATTCTATTTATTCTATTTATTCTATTTATTATATTTATTATATATATTTATATATTATATATTTAGTGTATATATTTATTTATATATACTAAATATAAATATATATACTATATATAAATATATATTTATATATAATAAAAATATACTATCTATATTTATATATACTAAAACTATACTAAAAGAATAGAAGAAAGGATTTCATCAGAAGGCTTGCAAAGAATAGAAAGGAATGATAATAAAATCTTGTGACTGACCAGAGAGTCCAAGCCAGCTGGACTGTGATTGGCCATTAATTAGAAACAACCACATGAGACCAATCCCAGATCTACCTGTTGCATTCCACAGGAGCAGATAACCATTGTTTGCATTTAGTTTCTGAGGAGAAGAAATCCTAGCAAAAGGATTTTTCATAAAATATGTCCGTGTCCAGGACAGCCTGTCTGGTGCTCAGGAGCCCTTTGCTCATCACACCTTGTGCTCTCTCTCCCTTCCACGCTGCCAGAGGATTTCAGGGTGTTTCACAAGCAAAGGGAGAGTTTCTCCTGTGGAGATTAAACTGATAAAACAGCTCCATGCCAACTAAACCCCATCTGAAGTGTGGGGATTTGATAACAGCTGGCTGCACAACAGCTGTATCTCAAATCTCTCCAATGATTCATGCAATGGAGAAACAGCCAGGCTGCTCAGAGCAGCTCAGGTGAAAAGTGCAGGGCTGCAGTAAACACACATCTACCCAAAGAGAAGGAAAACATCTTGCTCTGATGATGCAAATCACATCCCTTTGAAACCCTGCTGTTAGTGCCCTTCAAACACTGAGCAGGATCTGATGGCTACAGCAATAATCTGATTTATGCCAGCATTGCTGAGTGATACAAACCACTCCTAAAGTCCTTTTCAGGCGTCTTCATCTGCCTAGCACCTCTCTTCAAAGGGGTAGAAAGGGATGTCTGGATGACTGGAACTGAATTTCTAAAATCCATCTTCAAAAAGGACAGATCTGTCGCACAGATCATCAGACTCAGTCATGACCCAGCCTTTTTTCTGTGTTCCTTCCACCTGCTGAGACAAAAGTTCTGTTAGCAGGGATCACAGCAGCCCTCAGCTGAGCAGGGAGGGCATCCTCCCGTGGCTGTGGGTGAGAAAAAGAAAACGAGCACTCTGTGATGCAGGGTCACTGTCAGACACCCCAAATCCCCCCTCATTTCCAAGGTCTGCTGTTTCCTAGTAGCTGCTTCTAATTAGCTCGCAGCTAAGGTGTTAATTGGGTTTGTCTGGCCAGGCACAACCTCTGCACCCAAGAACAAACCCCAGACACGCACAGAGGTTACAAACAGCTCAGATTAAAAAGCAGGAAGAACATTTCCCACATGGCTTTCATGTGTGCAGCTCTTGGTGCTGGAAGGAAATCCCAGCACCTCTGGTTCCTGGGGGTTTCTGCTGCTTTTTCTGCTTCCTTCTTGCTCCTTCTCCAGGCCCAGAGTGCAGCAGCACGGGGCAGAGGGCTGCACAAAAGAGGTTCCAGCTCAGGGTGGCGGCCTGGAAATCAAGGAGGTTTTTGTTCAAATCCTAAAAGAAACAACAGTGAAAGGAAGTAAATGTAAAACAGTAACAATTTAGCCAGAAAGTGCAACTGAGGCAAGTGGTTTTTACAGCACGGGGGTTTTGTCACGCTCAAATCAGCAGCCAGAAATGGGAATTTTGAGTGAAAGCTCTGTGGGGATAAACTGGATGAGGTCAGCCAGACAAGAATACTTGAAATGCTGAACCACTCCCTGAGTGACCTGAAATACCTGTTCTGGGGTGGCACAGGAGCACAGGGAGAGTGACACAAAACACCTCTGTCATCTGCAGGCACAAACATCATCGAGGAGCTCCTCACATCCAGCAGATTGTCCCAGTTCTGCACAAGTGAAATTCCCTCTCTGATGTTTCCCTGTCATCTGAGGCAGGTTGTTTCCAAAGCAGTGAGGGTGCTGACAAGGAAAACTCACATTTAGCATGGCTAAATACAAGTTTGAAGAGGTTTTTTTCATAATTATTGGAATGGGAACATTGTGTGGTAACTATTTTCTCAGCACCCTACACCTCTCCAGGCCACTGCACGTCATTTAAAATATTTAAAATTATTCTCTCAAGGCCACAGGGAGCCAGCACAGAGCTCACAAATTGTGGCAGTGAGTCTGTGCAGAACTCACATTATCTGTGTTCTTCATTATCTGTGTGAAACACTGTCCCTGCCCTGTGGGGCGGCTGTGGGCACACAAATGGAGCAGGTGACACCCAAGCCTGGCTGTTGTAGATATTCTAGACCATAATTTCCTTCCTTCTCAAAGGCACCATACACACATGTGAGGCAGGGTAATTAATTTACCTTGTGTCACCCAGTTGAGGAATTAGGGACCTTCTTATTACACCTTGATTATGTCTGCAATTATCTGACACCTAATGAGGCTTCCAGCACCTTTCCACTGCTCCTCTTCTCTTTTCCCTCTCTTTTTGTCTGTCTCTGCTTCTCCCCTTTGGGAATTCAAGCAGCAGAAAGATTGTAAGAGAATAAAAATTACAGGTAAAGGCCAGTTCAGAGGAGGCTTTGAATTGACCTTTACCTGTACCTGTACCTGTAATTTTTGGTACAAAATTTGATTACAGGCCTGGAACTCCTCTGCTATGAGGGAAGGCTGAGAGAATTGGGATTGTTGAGCCTGGAAAGGAGATTTCAGGGTGAATTAATCGTGGCCTTGCAGTACATGATGGGAGCCCCCAAGAGAGGTGGAGAGAGGCTGTTCCCGAAGGGCTGGAGTGACAGCCGAGGGGGAATGCTCCAGCCCGACAGGGAGCAGGGTTAGATTGGATATTAAGGAGAAATTTTACCCTCTGAGGGCGGTGAGGCTCGGGCGCGGGCTGCCCACAGAAGCTGGGAAAGGCTGGAAGTGTTTGAGGAGCAACCCGCAAAGGGTGTCCAGAGGTGTCCCAGCACAAGCTCAGCTTTAACGCCCCCTCGAACCCGAACCATTCAGTGACTCTGCGGGGCTACGATTCATCGATTCCGCCGCTTCCTAACCAGCCTTTTTTTTTTTCTTTTTTTTTTAATTTGAACGCAACACCCATTTCCTGTTGCACGGCGGGCGGGGAGCGCTCCCCGCACAATCCCCGCTGCCGGTGCCGCTGCCGGTGCCTTCACGGGGACACCGCCGCCTCTGCGCGCTCGGGGGAGGAGCAGCGGCGGCCGAGGAGCCCCGGGGATGCCCGCGGGGCCGGAGCGGCACCGGCAGCGCCCGCGGAGCGGCCGCACGTCATGAGCGAGCGCCGGTGGCTGCGGGGCTGCGAGCGCCGCTCCCGGCCGGGGCCATGGGGCCGCCGCCCCGCCGCGTCCTGCTGCTCGGAGAGGGAAACTTCTCCTTCGCCGCCGCGCTCTGCGGGGCCCGGGCCACGCACGTGGTGGCCACTTGCTACGAGAGCGAGGAGGAGGCGGCGGGGCGCGGGGCAGCGGCGCGGAGCCTCCGCCGGCTGCGGGACAGCGGTGGGTGCGCGCCGGGGGTGGGCTGGGATGGGCGTGGGGATGGATGCTGCTGGGAGCTCTGCTGGCATCATCGCTGTCACCCTGGGGTCACCCAGAGTGGCATCGCTCTCACCCTCCTGTCACCCCCCTGGCATCCCTGTCACCCTGGGGTCACCCCCCTGGCATCCCCGTCACCCTCCTGGCATTGCTCTCACCCTGGTGTCACCCCGAATGGTATCGCTGCCACCCTGGTGTCACCCCCCTGGCATCCCTGTCACCCTGGTGCCACTCAGAATGGCATCGCTGTCACCCTGGGGTCACCCCCCTGGCATCCCTGTCACCCTCCTGGCATTGATGTCACCCTGGTGTCACCCAGAGTGGCATCGCTCTCACCCTCGTGTCACCCAGAATGGCATTGCTTCCACCCTGGTGTCACCCTCCTGGCATCCCCGTCACCCTCCTGGCATCGCTGCCACCCTCCTGGCATTGCTCTCACCCTGGTGCCACCCAGAATGGCATTGCTGCCACCCTGGTGTCACCCTCCTGGCATCGCTGCCACCCTCCTGGCATTGCTCTCACCCTGGTGCCACCCAGAATGGCATCGCTTCCACCCTGGTGTCACCCTCCTGGCATCGCTGTCACCCTCCTGGCATTGCTCTCACCCTGGTGTCACCCTCCTGGCATCCCTGTCACCCCCCTGGCATCGCTGTCACCCTGGTGTCACCCCCCTGGCATTGCTGTCCCCTGCTGCTCTGTCCCTTGGGAGCCCCTCGCCCCTCCAGGCGTCTCAGGGGAGGGACTGGAATAGCCCAGAAATGCTTTAAAATCTCATCAGGATGAAACAGTACTGAAACTATTGTTTTCAGCTGTTATCAGAAGTTTCTGCTGCCACGAAAGAGATCAAAAGGCAAAGAGAACCCCACAGGGCTCCCTGGCGTTCCCAATTCTCCAGGCAGTTCTCACCTACTTCAAAAGGCCCTGGAGGATTTGCATTCCCACCTTTCTTTACAATTTTCCCCTCGATAGCCAGCAGAGCCTTGTTTTGCTGTCGCAGGAGCCGAGGTTGTGTTTTCCGTGGACTGCACCAAGCTGAAGGAGCACTTTTTACTGGGAAAACGGGAATTTGATCGGATTTATTTCAACTTCCCCCACTGTGGGAGGAAGGCTGGGGTGGTGAAGAACAGGCAGCTCCTTGCCGGCTTTTTCCATAGGTGAGAAAACCCGAATTAATTCCGTGCTAATTACCGGCCGTGGCAGAGCTTTCCAGCTGCGTTCCAGGTGTTTTTGGGGGATTTGGGGCTGTGCTAACAGGGTTTTTTGGGGCTGTGCTAACAGGATTTTTTGGGGCTGTGCTAACAGGGTTTTTTGGGGCTGTGCTAACAGGATTTTTTGGGGCTGTGCTAACAGGGTTTTTTGGGGCTGTGCTAACAGGATTTTCTGCTCTGGCTCCCCTTCCAGCTGTGCAGAAGTGCTGGCACAGGAGGGAGAGGTGCACGTGGCCCTTTGCAATGGCCAGGGAGGGACTCCTGCGGATCAGCCCAGGAGAGAGTGGCACAACAGCTGGCAAATCGTGGCTGTGGCTGCAGGAGCTGGGTTTATCCTCAGCCACGTTCATCCTTTCAAAGCAGAGACTATCGAGGGATACAAATGCACAGGTTACAGGTAACCATCACAAGCTGAAATTCTGATGTTTGTGCTCTTAAAATGCCCCAGTGCTAGAATATTCTTTTAGTATCTTGTTGGCTGGAGAGGAACTCCCTTAATTTTCCTTTTAATTTTCCTTTTAATTTTCCTTTTAATTTTCCTTTTCCTTTTAATTTTCCTTTTAGTTTTCCTTTTAGTTTTCCTTTTAGTTTTCCTTTCAGTTTTCCTTAAAATAGCTGCAGTTCTTGTTCATCTCTAAGCAGAATAACCAAGATTAAAATGCAAGCTTCCTGCCAAAGCACCCTCTAAAAATAAGACTATCTGAGGATTTTAAAGGTCAAAAGCATCCGTTTCAGAACAAATATCAATCTCAGCCTAAAGACAGGAGGGCTGGGGGTTGGTGCTGGCAGAGACCTCTGCTCCTGCCTACTTAAATATTAAATATTATGCACATTAAATATCAGAAATTAGCAGTGGCTTTGCTCTGGTTTTGTGTATTTTCAGGAGTCAGGATAAATCCTTCTGTGTAGAAGGTGCTTTGAACCACATTTTCACACGGAGCACAGCACCCATGTGTTTCACACCCATGACCTGCCAGACACAACTGGGGAGCCAAAAGGTTTCTTTTCAAGTGCCACAAGTCCTTGTGGACAAAATTAATAGGTGAGTTTTATAATTGGTTTCTCTTTGGGAACCAGTAGGAATGTAGGAATGCCCAGCAGCGGGGTCTGATAAATGGATATGGTGACTGGGAAATCCTTTTTTTAGCCAGCAAATTGCAGTGAATTCTTGATTGTAACCTGCAAACAAACACTAATGCCCTGAAAATGTGCAACACCTTTGGTGAAAGACTTGGCTTGATCAGGTAGTTCCTGGCTTAAGAATGTTTTGGGTGAATTGCTGCACTCAAATTATGGCCACAGGAGGGAAATCACAGACGGTGTTTGTAATTTGTGCTTTTATTTTTCACAGGGGTTTTCTCGAGGTGAATTCAAGTCATCCAGTAAGGACAGTAAAGGAGAAGCTCAGTGCAGGGCTCAGCCAAGCTTTTCCTCTGCAGAACATCAGCTCCTGCCTGCCCCTGCTCCAGCAAGGTTGCCCTGGTGGTGTTTGCCACTCCAGCATCTTCTGGATCACCCTGAGCCCAGGGGAGGCTCCAGGCACTGGGAAAATGTCCCAGGGACTGGCAGATGCAGCTCTGTGTTCCCATTTTGGCCAGGACACAGATGAGAATGTACAGGAAGGATGCCCAGCTCCAGAGCAGTTTTACCTTAGGCCTTCCCTCCTGCCTCATGCTCGGGCAATAATGAAGAAAGGAGCCTTTTCCCCAGGGACACTCCAGGTTCTTTCTGGGCCGGTCTTTAGGAAATGTCGGATCACTCCCCACTCCATGCCTGCTTTCCATGAGATGCTGGTTGTGCTTGCAGTGAGCAGGGGCACAGAGAACAGCTGTGTGCAGGTGCTGGTGGATAACATTAAAACCACCGTGAATTCCCTGCACCAGGGCACTTCTGGTGTCAAACCCAGCATCAGCCTGCAGGAAGCAGCGAGTTTTGGAACTGAGCTAGGTGACTTTGCTGCTTTTGAAAGGCAGCTTGGTGAAATTCAGCATTTCCTTTGTGTGGGGACAGAGCCAGACACCCCAGGCTCCTGTGTGGCGGTTATCAGGGCAGCTCCTGATGAATTAAAAAGCCATGAGCTGGTTGTTGTCTCAGCCTCACTGAACCTGGACCTCCTGGCCATGCTGCTGTGCGGAATATCCGACTGGAGAATGCTCTGGACGTGGGACAGGCGCTTCCTCAGGCAGTTCCCTGAGGGAAAGTTGAGGCTTTTCCAGAGTTTTTCCCTCTATCCACCTTCCTACGTGCACGATGTCAGCTTCTGGCTTCCTGACGGGCAGGACTTTGATGAAGTGGCTTTCCACACCCTTGCCAGGAGGGTGTCAGGTGAAATGGTCGTTTCCATCCAGCTGAGGGACAATTTCCAACAGCCAGGGACAGGACAGAGGAGCCTGTGCTACAGGGTGACTTTCCAGTCCTGTGACAGGGCCTTGGGCTGCCGGGAGGCAGCAGAGATGCAGCTACACCTTCGGGAGGAAATGCAGCAGCACCTGGGTGTGACCCTGAGGTAGAACACCTCCCGTGGTTTGCAGGGGCTCCTGTGCCCCTTTCTGAGCTGGAAAATGTCACCTGCACGTCGTTGGACCTGAGGCTGTGTCACTGCCGTGCCTGTCACAAGGGCAGGGTGGACTTTGAGCACCTGCCCACGTTTCCATGTGGGAGCTCCTGTTAATGAAGAGCAAGCGCTCCTGTTCTCTGTGTGTGTAATGAAATCTCATTTTAGAAAGTGGAGCTTTTCTTTCCTGGGCTCCTGTGAGAGTGGATTCCATCTCTGTACTAATGCAAATTCCTGCTGCTGTCCACCCTGAGCCTGCCCAGCCCAGCCTGGGGCCGTTCCCTCTGCTCCTGTCCCTGTTCCCTGGGATAAGATCCCAAATCCCCCCGGCTGTCCCCTCCTGGCAGGAGCTGTGCAGAGCCACAAGGGCCCCCCGAGCCTCCTTTTCTCCAGGCTGAGCCCCTGCCCAGCTCCCTCAGCCTCTCCAGACCCTTCCCAGCTCTGTTCCCTTCCCTGGACATGCTCCAACTGCTCCACATCTTTCCCGTGCTGTTCTTGCCCCATCTCCTGATCACAGGGGGTACCACCAAATAAAGAACATTCTCCATCTCTGTGTTCCCCATTCCCTCACTTTCCTGCCCAAAAAGGCAGGCAGGGGCAGGGGGGGATGGAGCCTGGCTCGGACCTGGGAGTGCAGGACAGGGACCGGGTGAGAAATGGACCCGGGTGGGTGATGGACACGGGTGGGTGATGGACACAGATGGGTGATGGACACAGATGGGTGATGGACACGGGTGGGTGATGGACCCGGGTGGGTGATGGACACGGGTGGGTGATGGACACAGATGGGTGATGGACATGGGTGGGTGATGGACACGGGTGGGTGATGGACCCGGGTGGGTGATGGACACGGGTGGGTGATGGACACGGGTGGGTGATGGACACAGATGGGTGATGGACACGGGTGGGTGATGGACACAGATGGGTGATGGACCCGGGTGGGTGATGGACACAGATGGGTGATGGACCCGGGTGGGTGATGGACACGGGTGGGTGATGGACACGGGTGGGTGATGGACACAGATGGGTGATGGACACGGGTGGGTGATGGACACGGGTGTGCGGGGCAGTGCTCTCCCTGTCGCGGTCCCTGTCCGTCCGTCAGTCCCTGTGTCGGTCCCTGTCCGTCTGTCGGTCCCTGTCCGCCTGTCGGTGTCGGTCCCTGTGTCGGTCCCGGTCCCTGTCCGTCTGTCGGTCCCTGTCCTGTCGGTCCGGGTCCCTGTCGCGGTCCCGGTCCCTGTCCGTCTGTCGGTCCCTATGTCGGTCCCGATCCCTGTCCGTTTGTCGCTCCCGGTGTCGCTCCCGGTCCCTGTCCCCCTGTCAGTCCCTGTGTCGGTCCCGGTCCCTGTCCGTCTGTCGGTCGCGGTCCCCCTGTCAGTCCCTCTGCCGGTCCCTGTCCGTCTGTCGCTCCCGGTGCCTGTGGCGCTCCCGCCGCCCGCAGGGAGCGCGCTGCCCACACCCGTGATGGCGGCGGCGGCTTCGGCCGCGCTGCCGCAGCTGCTCGGGCCCGGCCGCGGCGGGCGGCGGGCGCTGCCTGCCCGTACCCGGCATGGCCGCCAAGGGGGCCCGGCAGCGGCCGCGGGCGGGCGGTGGGGACGCGGCGGGGCGGCGGCCCGAGCCCACGGGCAGCGAGGAGGCGCGGAACGAGTGGGTGCTGCCGGGGACGGAGCGGGGCTACCGGGGCTGCTGGGGCTGCTGAGGCTACCGGGGCCACCGGGGCCACGGAGGCTGCTGAGGCCGCTGGGGATGCTGAGGCTACCGGGGCTGCTGACGCTGCGGGGCTACCGGGGCTGCTGGGGCTGCTGAGGCCACCGGAGCTACTGAGGCTACCGGGGCTGCTGAAGCTACCGGAGCTGCTGGGGCCTCCGGGGCTACCGGGGCTGCTGAGGCTACCGGGGCTACCGGGGCCGGGGTTTACACGGGCGGTCCGTGCTGTGGGGACGGTGCCGGAGCATCCCCGGCCCGGCTGCCTTGGGGGTGCCGAGGAGCTGCTGCTGCTTCCTTGTGAGGGGACCGGCATCCCCATCCCTCCTGCCCTAATGCACCCTCGGCCCTTTGCTCGGTGTCACCTTGTGAGCTGTGATCTTGTAGCTGAGTTTTCTGCTGCATATTTGTAATTATTTTTTTTTTTGTACCTCCTCCGCTTTTGGATTAGATCATCCGGGAGCAAAGCAGGGCACGTCTGGGCCCCTGAAGGATCAACAGCTTTCAAGTGTCTGATCTCAGCCAGGTTCTGTGCAGCTCTGCTGAGCAACATCTCGGATTGTGACGAGACATTTAACTACTGGGAGCCGGTGAGTCCCTTCCTGCCCTTGGGATTGGCAGTTTGCAAATACCCCTTTATTTAGGACACCTTGTGCTCTCTGTTTCAGTTTCCAGTTGGCTTGTGCAAATGCAGATTTATTCAGAGCCTTGTGCTGATCCCTCTGTTTCAATAAGAAATATTTTGCTCTGGAAACTCTCTGCTTTGTGGCAAACTCTCTGCTTTGTGTGCTGCTTGTTAATTTGTTTCTTTGATCTCTCTTTGTAGACACACTACCTCATTTATGGGAAGGGGTTTCAGACCTGGGAGTACTCTCCTGCCTACGCCATCCGCTCCTATGCTTACCTGTGGCTCCATGCCTTGCCAGCCTGGTTCCATGCCAGGGTTCTGCAAACCAACAAGGTAAATTTGGTGTGTGGAAGCTGCTTTTGAGAGGAAGAAATGTACATTTAGTGTGTGGGAAACAGCTGTCCTGTTTGGTGTTGAAATTGAATTTGTGTTTATAAAACATGGTTGAAATTGATTTCATTTTTATAAAACATGGTTGAAATTTACTTCATTTTTATAAAACATGGTTGAAACTGACTCCATTTTTATAAAACTGGTTTGTTGACAAACCTTGACCTCCCTGGAAGGATTTCCAAAGGTTTGTGGGTTTCCCCTGATGTTTTACAAGCCCATTTTGTGTCCTGTGCCTCATTCAGACTCTCTCTGTGTCTGCTAGGTTCTCATCTTCTATTTCCTGCGATGCTTCCTGGCCTTCCTGAGCTGCATTTGTGAACTCTACTTCTACAAGTGAGTGTCAGAGTGTCTGCAGGGGGTGTGTGGGAGCAGTGTGAGTGCCAGGGACAGTTCCTGCCACAAGAAATAGGCTTTGAGGCTCGTGTGTAGATGAGAAAATACCAGTTCTCATGATCACTCACTGAAGTGTTGGTCAGAACGTCACAATTAGGACAAAATTGCACTCCCAGATCTCCCACCCACACCTCTACTCCAGCATTTTGTTGACTCCACTCGTTTCCTCACTGCTGGCAGCAAGCAGGGTGGGAGTGTTGCAGACTGAGGAGAGTCTGGTGCTGTGTTTGCTTATCACAGTGAATTTGACTGGAACACACTGATTGCTGCTGTCTGCAATCTCTCTGCCAGTGCTGTTTACATCCACTGAAATCAGTAGCCCTAACATGCAATTATTACCTTGTCTAAATTGGATTTTTATTTTTACCTGCTGCCTCTTGATTCCTGATTTTTAATCCACTACCTTGCATGAGTTTTTTGTTTGTCAAAAAGCCACAGTTCATCTCCTAAACCAGAGCACTGACACGTATTTTTCTCATCCACATTCTGATGTAAAGAGGTGAACTGTGGCTGTTTTGCATGGTGGGGTTTTGTGAGGGGTGAGGGGATGGATGGAAGTGTGCAGCAGTGCAGCCACAACTCCTGAGATTTGCACAAGCACAGCTGGGAGAATCCAGGCCTCACCCAGAGTTTTTTACTGGGGTAACTCAGGGTCTGGAACCCCAGGAGAGGCAGCAGCTGAGTGTTGGGAATGCCCCCAGAGCTCTCATGGGTTGTTTGTGGTTCTGCATGCCTTGGTGCTGCTGATTTTTCCCTGGGGCTGTTTTGTGGTACCTGTTTCTCTGCTGCTTCCCCAGGGCTGTGTGCAAGAAGTTTGGGCTGCACGTGAGCAGGCTGATGTTGGCCTTCCTGGTGCTCAGCACGGGCATGTTCTGTGCTTCTGCAGGTGAGTTGGCTTGGCACTGGCACTGACAAAGGTTCAGAGAGAAGAAAATCACATCTCCAGGGTGCTCTTTGTTGTATTCCCATGACAGAATAAGCACCGATTCAAGTTTTGTTCTCTGTGTTACAATTTCCAGGCCTGTTTCTGTTGCTGCCTCCTGTTTTTTAATATTTGCAGTGCCTTTAAACAGGCTCTTGGCCTGCCTTCCTTGGACAGCCTTTGTTCTAAGGAAGGAGCTGGCACTTTGGCACTTTGGCACTTTGCCTTTGTGTGTGCTGTCCCCTCTGGCTGGCTGTACCTGTTTTCCCAGCTGCTGTAAGACCTGCAGCAGGCGTTGTGTGAGGTGTGGGGAAGCTGTGCTGACCTTTAATCCCCTTGTGTTGCAGCTTTCCTGCCCAGCAGTTTCTGCATGTACACCACGGTGGTGGCCATGACAGGCTGGTACATGGACAGGACCTCGGTGGCAGTGCTGGGGGTGGCTGCTGGGGCCCTGCTGGGCTGGCCCTTCAGCGCAGCTCTGGGGTAAGGAGCACTCTCTGCCCTTTCTCAGCTGCTTTTCACCTGCCTGGGGAGAGCCAGCTTAGCCAGCTTAGCCCAGGATCGTTGCTACAGCCTTCCTGGCTTTTGGAAAACTCAGGTTGGGCAGATTTCCTGGCATTAATTTGGGTAAAACCTGGGCTGGATGATGAATCTGGAGTAGGAGCAGAGTGGTGGTTCTGTCTCTTGCTTTGAAGGGGCAGCAGAAGCTGCAGTGGGGTTCTCAAAGCCTCCAGCTGACAGCTGGTCTCTCTTCCAGACTTCCTATTGCCTTTGACCTGTTGATCCTGAAGAAGAGGTGGAAAAGTTTCCTGAACTGGTGTGTGGTGTCCTTGATCCTGTTTTTGGTGAGTGCCTGCCACTGTGCTGGTGTTCACAGGGGGCCCAGGATGAGGGAAGAGACCAGGATCTGACTCCATGTTTCAGAAGGCTTGATTTATTATTTTATGATATATATTATATTAAAACTATAGTAAAAGAATAGAAGAAGGGATTTCATCAGAAGGCTTGCTAAGAATAGAAAAGGAAAGGAATGATAACAAAGGTTTGTGACTGACTGAGACAGTCCGGACAGCTGGGCTGTGATTGGCCATTAATTAGAAACAACCACATGAGCCCAATCCCAGATGCACCTGTTGCATTCCACAGCAGCAGATAACCATTGGTTACATTTTGTTCCTGAGGCCTCTCAGCTTCTCAGGAGAAAAAAATCCTAAAGAAAGGATTTTTCATAAAATGTGTCTGTGACATGCCACAACACAAAGAGGGAATGGATGGCAACACAAGGAATGAGTTCCTTTAGGAAAATCTGCTGGAGCTGCTGCACTTTAACCAAAATCTGCTTTTCTCCAGGTGCCCTTGGTGCTGGTGGACAGCTATTACTATGGGAAGCTGGTGGTGGCACCTCTCAACATCGTTTTGTACAATGTCTTCACCCCTCATGGGCCTGATCTCTACGGTGAGTTTGGGGTACCAAGCCAGGGAGGCAGCCCGAGGTTTCCTGGCTGCCCTGGCCCTCGATTTGCAGTGCTTTTTGTGCCGTGCCCTACAGCAAAAGCAGCTGCCAGCTCCTGTTCCTGCCAGCTCCGAGGGCTGCAGCTGCTGCTTCTGGACACGGGATGTCTCTGTCGAGCTGGCAATGCGCTCCCGGTTCCTCCAGCCTGGGAGCTGTGCTGCTTTCCTGCACTTTCCACTCCCGTGAAACTGCCAGGAGGTGTCTCACTGGCTGGGCACAAGTGGCCCGTGTGTGTTTGTCAGCTTGAATCAGTCCCTGGCTGCTGCTCCTCGCAGTCAGGCTGCAGAACTTTGGCAAAGTGAGGAATGGTGCAGAATCCACACTTCCTTCTGTCCATATCCTGCACTTCTAGAGGTGGAAATTAATTTCTAGCAGGGCTTCAGAAGGGCTGGCAGAGACCAGGGGATGCCTGCAGCATCTCTGTGCTCTGTGTGAGGCCAGAGGAGCTGTTCCAGGAGGGCTCAGCAGTGGGGAGCAGCAGCATCAGGGCTTTCTCTGGCAGCTGGCACTGAGGGGCTGTTCTGGGTGGTGCTCAGTGCTGATTTGTCACTTGTGCCTGGCACAGCAGGACAGCAGCTGCTCTGCCAGGGCTCTTGGCCTCTGCAGGAAGGCTCTGAAGTGTGGGGCTGGGAGTTTTGTGTAAGTAAACTCCAGGCTCTGTCTCTGATAGGTTTTGGCAGGGCCTTGTGCCTGACCTTTTCCACACTGGTGCATGAGTTGTTTCCAGAAGCCTCCAGGGACCCATCTGTCCTGAAGAGTTTTATTCACAGTGACATTCACACAACATCCTCGGGCTAGTAAAGGAGCCTGCCTGGAATTGCTCTTTAATGCAGTGTGGCCAGGACAACGCTGTGTGTTTAGAGAGCTTCAAAACACTGGGGAAAAATAACACTGCCAGGGGAGATGAAAGGCTGGCCAATCCCTCTTGGCTCTGGACGCTGGGATTTCCCAACGTTCACATGATGGGGGCAGAGTCACCAGCCCAGATCATCTCCAGTGTAAGCACTGCAGTGTTTGTGAGACAAGGTTCAATTATTTTTTTTTTCCTCTGTCTTTAGCAATAAGCTCCCTCTACATAAATATTGTCTGTGCAATTAATATTTCCCTGGAGTGATTTGGTTTCTACAGCCAAGGGAAAACAGCTGCCAAGAGTACATCCCTGTTTCTGAGGCTTTGGGGTGTTTTTGTGTACTTAATTTGTGACCAGAGTTTTGTCCCACTTTAGGAAGCTTTATTCAGCTTGGGTGGAAGGTGCTGGAGCTGCTCTGTGTGTGCCACCTTTCTCTGTGGAGCCCTGCTTCTTCAGCAGAGTGAGAATAAATGAAATTCAGTGAGCAGACTGTTCACTGTAGCAGCACTGAATCAGAACGAGGGCTGTGACTCATGACCAAATTATTGCAGCTTGGTTTCTGCTTGCCAGCTGCAGTTCCTGCACTCAGGCTTCAGCCCAGGGTGGGGCTCCTTGTCCCAAACCTCTTTTACAGCTCCCCTGCTCTGGCCTGAGCTGCCCTCACCATTCCTGTGGTCAAGGTGCAGCCTGGCTAAATTTGATTCACTCCTGAGTTCTGGAATTGCTCCTGGGGCCATTCCCAGACCTCAGAGTTCAAAGCATTTTCTCACTGGGGTCTGACAGAGCTTCCAGCTGCTTTTCCCCATGGAACCACCGTGCCAGGAGCTGCCTGGGTGTTCCTTTCCCACTGCTTTCACCAGTCTGTCTCCTGGATCCCACCCCTGCCCAGCTCTGGGATGTGCATCCTTGCAGGTACATTCTCCAGCTCCTCTCCTGCTCTGCAGGCATATTCCCTTTACTGGAGAGCTCTCAGTGCCTCTGCCTGCTTCAGAGATGATGTTCTGGGCCAGGACTCCTTGCCTGCAGTGGGGTTGTTCCTTTTTGAGGCTGCAGTTCACCTTGAGCCGTGTGGATAAGAAGAATTAAGAAGAATAAAACCCCTTTTGCCCTGGGAGGCTTTGAGCCTGAGTGCCTCTGAATGGCTGCATCACCAGTGAGCCAGCCTGGTGCTCTTTGCCTGCTGTGCACTGTTCTCTTCTCTTATTTTCCCCCTTTTTATTTTTTTTTTTTTTAGCCTCTCACAGAGAAGAAAATCCCTCATTGGAGAATGAGGGGAGGCTCCAGTGCTTGTTTTTTCTGGGCAATTCAGTCACACTGCAAAAAAATGTGAGCGAGCAGCTTTTCCTTTGGTGAAAGCCTCAGAGCAGCTGCTCTGTTTATTAGCAGTGTTATCTGGGCTCTGTTTGGATCATGGAGTTGTGTTTCATGGAGTGTCCTTCACTCCTGACCCCCAGGCTGCCAGATCTGAAACCAGAGCAGAGAGAGGTGAATTCAGGGTGAATTCCCTTTGCTTTCCATTCCAGCCACAAAGGTGACAGGATGGTCCCTGGACTTGCCCTTCAAAGATTTAGAACTTTTTTATATAATTGCTGTTTGCTTTCCGAGCTGATAACTCAGGGCTTCCTCTATGAACCCAAGCTGCTTGGCCAGGCAGTGACTCCAGGGCCATGTTTGTGACATCCCCAGTGCAGCTTCTCCCCTTTTTTTAGCTGCAGGAGCTGCAGAACTCTCGGGTTTTCCTTGCTGCTATTCAGTTGTCTGATTAATTTCAACACGGACCCGATGTAAGTGGCTCTGATTGCAGGAAATTGCTGTGGCATGTGACACATGTCACAACAGTGCAGTGATTAAAGCCCCCGCGTGTCATTTACTGGCTGATTGAGCTAATCACACTGAGAGAGTGGGAAATGTGTGGAGAGGAACTGGCATTCCTCATTGTTAAGGGCTTTAAGCATCCTGAATTAAGAGTCTAAATAAATGACAGTTGGACTGGAGTTTCTTTCAGTTTACATCCTCCAGAGCTTGCAGCCAGTTCCCAAGTGTGGAGGCAGAGCTGCCTGGCTCCTGTTTGTGTCAGAACAGGCTGAATTTGGGACATTTCAATAGTGCTGAGTGAAAGGAAGGACCAAAACCAGCATTTAGTGGCAGAGTCTTTGTTGGGGTGAAGGGAGAATACAGACTCCTTTCCTTCTTAATCCTTTTTGGTACCTTTTCTGTTGCTGCCAACCCAGAATGAACATCCTCACTCCAGAATTACAGGACATTGTGTGGTTTTCTGTGACTCCTCTGCAGTTAGGAAGAAAGAATGAATTTGGGGTCAAATTTCCCAGTTTTACAAGTCTCCACCTCTGCTTCCTTGCTGTCCTTCTGAATGCAGGGCTGAGCTCTCTCTGTGTCACAGAGTTCTGCTGGCTCTGGGGTTCATGAGCAGCAGGTGGAATACTGGCTATTTTTCACCCTCAGATTAAAAATAAGGAGAAATATAATTTCTGAGCAGGAAGACAGTGGAGTTCCTTGGGCAGGGGTGAGTGTGAGATACTCACACAGGGCTGTGTCAGGCAGAGAAGGGCCAAAGCTGCTGCTCCATCCATTCATGCTTGTGCCTCAAACCTTTTTTCTTTTCCTTTTTTCTCACCCTTCAGGTACAGAGCCCTGGTACTTCTATTTCATCAATGGCTTTCTGAACTTCAATGTGGTTTTTGTGCTGGCCCTGCTCGTGCTGCCTCTGACCTGTCTGATGGAGTGTCTTCTGCAGAAATTCCGTGGTGAGTGCAGGGTTTGCCTGCCCAAGAGCAGCTTTTCCTTACTGGGAGTGAACCTGGGAGCAGGGAGAGCCTTTGGAGCACCAGGAGAGTTCCTGGAGCTCATTAAGGTTCAGGATTGTTCCTTGCCTCCACCTCAAGAGGAAAAATGTGTTAAAAAAGGTGAGCCTGACAAGGTTCCTGAGCTCCATTGTGACATTTAATCCATCAGGAGTGGCCCAGTCAATAATCCTGAAGAGGGAGAAAGCTGAACCTGGTGTTGTTCCCACCTTGTCTGCAGCTGGGAATGGGGAGAAACCTTTTGGGATTGAAACTGGACTGTTCTGGGCACTGTGGGTTTTTCAGCTGCCAGGACTGAGCCCTGCTCTGGGAAGTGTCCCTGTGGGTGTAGATATACTGAGAGTTTAAAAAAACAAACAAACAAAAAAAAGAAGAACCAGAATATTCCCTATTTCACACTGGGCTTTTTCTTGAACAAAATGACATCAGTTTGAGCACATGACACTTGAGAGTGACTCCAGAGGGGAAGTGTAAATTCCTTTCTGCTGTTTTCCTAAGGAAAATTCATCAAGGCTCAGCAGCAGCCTCCAGATCCAGATCCATCAGTCCAGTCACTGCTTTGCTCTGGTTTTTTTTGGTTTTTTTACTGACTACAACAAACAGTAACACAATCCTCGATGAAAATGTATGTTAAGGGGTGTTTGCTTGTGTCTGTTCCTTGGCTGTGAGTGACAAACTCTCAGAAAGCAGTAAAAGCTCAGTAGGAGCTCCTGTAAATGCAAGATTTCCTGCTGTTCACTTGGTGTTCTTGTACTTAACAGCAGGAGCGACTCTGCCAAGTGCTTTGTTCTTATTGTCTGTGAAATGCCGGTGGCTTAATTGCTTAACTCTGCTGTTGGGAGTAGCGAGGGGTAGGAAAGGGACTGAAAATTGTCAGGCAGTGTAGAGCCCTCCTCAGTGTGACTGAAATTCAGGGTAATTGTTGTTATTTTTGAATCAGTTATTTCCTCCGTTCGGCAGAAGGCGCCTGGGAGACCTCTCCCGGTGTTATTTTTGTAATGAGGCAATGAAGGCTGGGCAAACTTCGGGCTCTAAACAACCATTTGGGAGGGGAAGGGCAGCTCCTGAGGAGGCCTTTTCTGATCTTTGTGTGTACAGTGCCCAGCAGGAAAGGCAGCACTCCTGTCTGCCTCCTCAGACCTGGCAGCTCCTGATGGCTTTTGTGTCTTCTTGGATCCACTCACTCTTGTTTTCTGCTTCTGCTCTTCCTAAGGCTGTTGGAATTGTCAGTATTGTAGGAATCTGCAAAAGTCCTCTGAGGAGAATGCCCTGCTGGCTGTTTGGGGTGTGTTACCTGGGGTTTTGGCAGCAGTGGTGCTCAGGACAGGGCGTGTTTGGGTCTCCAGAGTGGGCTTTGGCTGTGAGAGGGGATTGTGCAAGAGCAGGAATCCTTGCATTGCTCCTTTGCTGAGGTTTTGTTTCCTCCAGTTCAGAATCTGGGCCGTCCCTACTGGCTGACCCTGGCTCCCATGTACATCTGGATCCTGATTTTCTTCAGCCAGCCCCACAAAGAAGAGAGATTTCTCTTCCCCATCTACCCCCTCATCTGCCTCTCTGGTGCTGTGGCTCTCTCTGCTCTTCAGGTAAATTCCAGTGGTTTTTAATAAACAGCTGAGAATATTTCCCAGCTGTTATTTCATGATGACTTTGAGTTGTTCTCCAGTCCCAAATGGGAATTCTGGAGTTGTGGTGCTCTAGTGCCAGCAGCACCCAAAATCCAAGAGGTTGCTGAGGGTTCAGTGGCCTGCTGATGGAATTGTGCCTCCTTGGCTGCTCAGCTCCAAGGGTAGGAATGTGGGTGTGTGGGAAATGCATTTTGATGTGTCTCAGAAGGAATCCCTCCCTCACTGGGCTGAAAAAAAGGCAAAAGGATCTCATTTAAATGTTGGGAATTGCATTGAACATTTGCAAGAGCCAAAAACTGGATGTTTAGTAAACATCACTTGAAACACTTCACAGAGCAAAGCACTAATAGAGACTGATATAAACCTTCCCAAAGCTCAGAATTATTCATCTCCTGCTGTTCAAAAGGCTCAGGAATGCAGCCAGGAGTCCCTGCTGGAGCCTGTTCCAGCTGTTTGGCCTCACCCTGCTGTGCAGCACTGCTGCAATTCCTGCTCACCCTCAGTCCCTCATCCTTCTCTGCTCAGGTGCTGTTCTCACCCTGGATCTCCATCACTCCCAGATGGGTTCCAGTCCTTGCCTTCACACAGGATCCAGCTTGGAATGGCACCAATTTTCTGGCTCTGACTGAGAATTCCTCTGTGCTCTCAGAACATCACAGAGCAGTGTTCATTTATTTTTATTGTAACTATGGCTTGAGGAAGGTTTCCTGTACATTTCTTGCATATTTTGCCACTGTTTGATGACATTTTGCCCAGTATGGAGCATCCAGCTGAGAATCTGGAGCTGATTGCCCACCAGCAGGACAAGCTTGTCACTGTCCCCCTCCAAACTATGTGGATGTTATGAGAAAAATGCAAACAGGACAAGAGAAGCAGAAGGCAGCTGAGGGTAGGGAGTGAATAACCACTCCTGCAGAGCAGCAGGGAGGGACCAAGGCAGGGACTGGATGCATTTCCTCCTGGCTATTCCCAGAATGGCTTTTTAATTGAAAAAAAAAAATTAACCTAAAGGGCTTTTCTTTTTATCAGTTTTTCTTTTTATTGATTTTTCTTTTTATCAATTTTTCTTTTTATCGATTTTTCTTTTATCAACTTTTCTTTTTATCGATTTTTCTTTTATCAGTTTTTCTTTTATCACTTCCAGAGTGACTTGTGTTCAAAGCTGGACGCAGAATGTGCTCTGTGGTGTTTTATTCACTTCAAAGCTGTGGTTTGTGCAGGCAGGGTAAACAACCAGAGGTCACTCTGGAAATCTGGGTCATGGAGCTTGTGTTAGGCAGGAGTTCAGTCCAGCATGGAAAATCAGGTGAGTCTGCAGGGAACTTCTGAAAGGAACTCTTGCCCCTGGTTTACCTGGGAGCAACCAAGCTGGAGCCCCTGAGAGAGAACTTTAGGTCCAGAGGCCTTCCTAGGAAGCATAAAAAGCACTCAAATACCCCAAATTATCACTTAAATAAGACCAAACCCTATGAGCTTCTGTCATTTTGCTGGCTCTGAATTAAAAAATCTGGTGGGGGATACACTGTTTTAAGAGCTTTATGAAAAAATGAGAACTTTGCTGAATGGATCAGAGTTGGAGTAACTTCATATTGTCTCTCTTTTTTTTTTAATCTCTTCCCTGAGAAATGTTACCACTTCATCTTCCAGCGCTACCGCCTGGAGCACTACACAGTGTCCTCCAACTGGCTGGCCCTGGGGACTGTCCTCCTCTTTGGCCTTTTGTCACTGTCACGCTCTGTTGCCTTATTCAAAGGTTGGTGTTTCACATTTGCCCTCTGCTCTCCTGGCTCTGGGGCTTGGGGCTGCACAAGTTGTGCTGTAGAAAAGGGAGGTGGCAGGAAAATCTCCTGGGAGACTGAGCTGAAATCCCTCAAGGAAGAGTTTAAGGGAGTAAAGCAGGGTAAGACACAGGATTCCCAGCAGGAAGGAGGAGGTTTCATAACGTGGACTCCTGCTGGATTCCCCCACAAAGGTTTTGCTTGAAAACCTTCAAATTATGTTACCTGTGCCCTGCAGGTAAAATAATTTATTGAGAAGTTTGTCCTTGAGAAGTTTGGGTGTTGTTGCTGCAGGGGAAGGAATAAATTCTGCTGGTCACCATTAATTAATTATTAATTATACATTCATCCATATATATGTGTGAATGGGTCACCAGAATTACAAAAAAAAATCCTTAAAAATTTTAAGGATTTTAAAAAATCCTCGGGTTTTAAAAACCCTCTTCACCTTTCACCAGTAAACTCCACTGATCTGAAACCTGACTCTTTTTAAAGGAGATACTTCAGCCTTCAGATGGATAATCCCACTTGGAAAAGCATTTTCCTGTGAAAAATGTGAATTAGGTGCATGAGTCCTTAATGGAGATGGAATCAAAGCCTTCCCACCTCATCAGTATTTTTTTGAGGGTTTTGGTGGCCATTGACAGCCAGGACAGGGAAATGTGAATAAAATTGGTAGGGGCACCAAGGGTAAGAGGGTAAGCTTTGAATCCAGCCACTTCTTAGCAGAGACCATTTCATTTATTCACTGAGTTACCAGTTAAAAAATTATACATGAAACAACTTCTGCAGGCTTTAATTAAATAACCCTTCTTCCTTTAACCCTAATTATGATGTTCTGCCTCCCACAGGCTACCACGGGCCCCTGGACCTGTACCCTGAATTCCACAGGATTGCCACTGACCCCAGCATCCACACGGTGCCAGAGGGGAGGCCAGTCCATGTCTGTGTGGGAAAGGAGTGGCACAGGTTCCCCAGCAGCTTCCTCCTGCCAGACAAGTGAGTGCTGCCATGGGAAAGGGGCAGTTAGGGCAGGTGGATAACGAGGGGCACAGTAATGGGTGTGGGGAACCCTCAGGAACTGGATCTCTGGTGTCACCAGCAGTGTCATAAACAATATTAAAGCACCCAGATAAAGGATTCTGAAGGTTTTTCATCAGAAGAACTGGCCCCAAGTTCCTGGGAGTCTCTGGTGTGCCTGGGGATGGTGTCCTTGGTTTGGGGGCTCAAAAGTACCCAAATAAAGGATTCTGAAGGTTTTTCATCAGAAAAATTGGCCCCAAGTTCCTGGGAATCCTTGCTGTGCCTGGGGATGGAGTCCTTGGTTCTGGTTTTGGGGCCCAAAAGTACCCAAGTAAAGGATTCTGAAGGGTTCTGATGAGCACACTGGCCACAGGTTCCTGGGGATCACCTGGGGAAGGAGTCCTTGGTTTTGGGGCCCAAAAGTACCCAAGTAAAGGATTTTGAAGGTTTTTAATCAGCACACTGGCCACAGGTTCCTGGGGATCACCTGGGGATGGAGTCCTTGGTTTTGGTGCTCAGAAGTACCCAAATAAAGGATTCTGAAGGTTTTTAATCAGCACACTGGCCACAAGTTCCTGGGGATCACCTGGGGATGGTGCCCTTGGTTTTGGGGCCCAAAAGTACCCAAATAAAGGATTCTGAAGGTTTTTAATCAGCACACTGGCCACAGGTTCCTGGGGATCACCTGGGGAAGGAGTCCTTGGTTTTGGGGCCCAAAAGTACCCAAATAAAGGATTTTGAAGGTTTTTAATCAGCACACTGGCCACAAGTTCCTGGGGATGGAGTCCTTGGTTCTGCTGCTCTCACACCATGCTCTCCCTGCTCTCTGCAGCTGGCAGCTCCAGTTCATCCTGTCAGAATTCCGGGGCCAGTTGCCCAAACCCTTTGCCAAGGGGCCCTTGGCCACCAGGATCATTCCTGCAGACATGAACGACCAGAACAAAGAGGAGCCATCTCGATATGTAAGGATTTGTTCTGCTTTCTTTCCCTTACCTCACTGGATAATGGAAATTATTGCAATGCCTCACGGTGGATCTCCCCGTTTCTGCTGGATAATGTAAATTAATTCAATACCTCTCCCCATTTCTGCTTCCTGGGGAGTTCCAAAGCAAAATTGGTCCCTCTGCAGCACTTGGAAATCTCCCCATTCTTGTGAGTGGCTTCTGTTTGCCTTTCATCTGCCAGTTTGAAGACATAATGATAATAAAAGAAGCAGCAGAAGTAAGAATTCCTAATTACTGCAGTTTTGGGTTTAGTGTAGTGTGTTAATGTGATCACAGGAATGAGTAATTTGAAGTCCCCCACAGAAAATATTTGTCACTGAGCAGGAATTGAAATTTTCCTCTTTTATTTCTTTTTAAATATAAAACTATTCATCATATTTTCAACTGAGGAGGAGGAACTTAATTTGGAACTTAATTGCATTAATGGGAATCTGTTAAGATAATGTATATTGGTATTATTGATTTATTTCCTGGTTGAACTAAACAAAACACAGATAGGAATGTCTTAAAATTATTGCTAGCTAGCAATGTTTAAAATTACTGACAGGTTCAATCTTGGCAGTCTTCTGGGTTAAAATTCTTATTTTGAGGCTCATTATGCAGTTACTGGAAATGGGAAGGAGGCGTGTTCCCACCTGAGAGGAGCTGTCTGCTGCAGTGCATTTAATTTATGAAATCTTTAACTGGGGCTTATTTTTAGCACAGACAGCTGGCTGCTCCAGCCTGTGACTAATAGAGCAAAACACACTTTTGTTTCATGCTTGCTCCTTAATGTCACCCCACAACTTTGTTCTTTCTCATGCAAGCTCAAGGGCCTAGGACTTGAGAAATCAGAAATTAAACAGGGGCTTAAAACTCTTACTTTTAGCCTGCTAATTACACCAGGAGATCAAGATCTTTCCCCAGATTTAGTGAGTACCAGCATATTCAGATTTTTTTAAAGAGTAGAAGAATAATTAGCAAGAGCTGGTGAGGACTGTGAGAGGGGATAAATCTCAATAGCACGAGGCTGTTGGTCATTTAAAGGGGAGAAAACAAATGGTTCAGGAGGATTATCTGAGCCATGGATAAAGCCATTAGTGGCTGTGATCTCACTGTTTCAGGTGTGAGTATCTATTACTGCTCTGCTTGGAAATGGAAGAGGGAACCTCAGTGTTCCTGTTGCTATGAGACACTGGGGGAAGAGTGATTTGATCTTGTTTTGCAATCTCTCTTTCCTTAATCACATCGAGCTGCACTTACCTTGCACTTGCCCAGCTGGGGAGGTGCATTTGTCTCTGAAAGTGCTAAGAAACAGATAAGGAATATTATTTCTTCCCAAGATACATCCAAGCAGGACCAGCAGATTAGGCTGAAAGCTGCTAACAGCAGCTGCCTTCAATGAAAAGGGTTTTAAAGCATTTTCTCCTCACTTCCAGCACCCTCCAGACCCCATGGCAGCAGCAGATGTGCCCTTAGCTCCAGCTCTGGGCTGTTCCCACTCCTGTCAGCCAGGGTGGGATCCAACTCAGCTCTCTCCACTTGGCAGAGCAGTGGTATCAAATAAAGAAAGAGTGGGAGGAGGAAGAGAAAGGGGAACAGAAGAGGAGAGGATGTAGTTTAGAAATCCCTCACAGCTTTGTTCAGTAGAACGAGTTCCTTTCTTTCATTTCAAGGTCTGGGCATCACCCAGGTCTTGTGTAAATCCCAAAATGAATGCAGAGGTGCTGTGTTGGCCCTCAGAGCAGGAGGAATATCATCCTTGGCTTCATAGTGATTGAAGGAATGTGAAAATACAAGGGAAACGTGGCTTGCACCTGGAATTTGGAGTCAGGGCAGCATTTAGGATGAGACAAGTGAGGTCCTTGAGGCAGCAACTTGTCTTTCTCTGAATGATTCTCCATCACTTCCAGAAAAACTCGGTTAGTGGTTTGGGAGTCCTTGTGCTAATGAGGCAGAGCCTCTCCCAGGGCCTGGAATGTTCCTCTCACACAGAGCACAAAGTGGATTCAGCATCCTCAGCTGCGTTTCCTGTGGTGTAATTTCATTTGCCACTCAGTTGTGATGCCACAGAGCCATCTGCTATCCACCTAATTAAATTGTTTCCAGCCTAAATTGTTACATCAAACCCCAAAGGTGCTTCAAAAAAGGGATCTCAAGCATGGCCAAGAAAGTTGGCAGTAAAATTTTGTGGGAGAGTGAGCTGAAATCACTCAAGGAAGAGTTGGAGGGAGTAAGGCAGGGTAAGACACAGGGCTCCCAGCAGGAAGGAGGAGGTTTCATAATGTGCTCTCCTGCTGGATTCCCCCACACAATGAATGGGGTCACCTGTGTCCTGCACAGAGCTTTCCACCTGCTGCTGGGAGTGCAGCCCCTTCTGATTGCTGTGACAGAGCCTAAAGCCAGCACTGTCTGTGTCCCTGCAGATGGACATCTCCAAATGCCACTACCTGGTGGACTTGGACACAGCAGCAGAGACCCCCAGGGAGCCCAGGTACTCCTCCAACAGGGAGGAGTGGGTGACCATTGCCTACAAGCCATTCCTTGATGCTTCCAGGTAGGATTTGCACTTTGGAGAGGGAGGGATGGGGCAGTCTGGGATTTCTGTTTGCAAAAGTGGGCAGGGAGGAGAGATCCATGGGCAAATGCCAGCTTGAAATGCAATTCCCAGCAAAATGGAGCCTTTGTCAAACTCCTGCTTGCAAAATTTATGACCTAAGTTACTTTAGAGGGTGAAACTCTGGGAGGAGGGTGGTGAGGAATATTTTTATAAAGAAATAAACAATTTCTTTATAAAGCTTCCTGCTGAAGCCATGTTTTTTGGGAGTTGCTTTCCAAAGAAATGAGGTGGATGTCACCTCCTCCCAGGGGACTTTTCCCTCTGTTCTGTCCCAGCCAGATTCAAGACAGGCATAAATCATCAGAGGGGATGAGATCTGAAGAATGTTCTGGAAGCTGGCAGAGAGGGGAGGCAGTCAGCAGGGCCACACCTTGATGAGGCACCAGAAAATCCATGGGAGAGGTTCCTGCTGGAGTGTGTCCTGCAGAGCTGTGCTGCTCACTGAGCACCTCGCTGCAGGCTCTGGGATCTGCTCCAGGCTGGCAGGGAGGGGATCAGGGCTGGGAATGATGTTCCTGCATTCCTGCAAACACAGGAACACTCCTCAGCTGCACCAGGATGTGATTTAGCCCTTCAGAGCTCCTGAAGGTGTCACCCCAGGACAGAGGCTGGAAAAACCTCTGTACCAAACCAGCCCAGAGTTCAGTGCCCTCCTGTTTTCCATGAGGGACCCGATTGCTTCCTGCCTGGGCCCTGCAGGGAGTGGGGCTGGGAAGAGCAGGGCAGGGATGGGGCTGTTTGGGCAGCTCCCAGGAGGGCTCTGGTGTTCCCAGCTCCCTGACACAAGCAGCTTTCCTTGGCAAGGGCTTCCATGAGCTGCATTTTCCAGGACAACCTGCTGCTACATTGGGGCAAGGGGGAGGTGGCCAATGACTTTTATTAATGAGGCAATTGAGGCATCAAAGGCTCTCCTTGTGCAGAGGATTTGCCCTTAAATGTGCATTTCTGCTTTAAAGCCACATTCGTGTGTTCTCACAGCTGCTTTATCTTGCTTGCCTGATCTCTGGAGCTGAGTTGAGGTTTCAAGTTTGCAGCTCTGCGGTTGCAGAGCAAGGGGCAAAAAAAAAAATCAACCCAAACCATGGAGCACCTCCCCAGCTCAGCCCAAAGCGCAGCTCTTGTGTGAAAATCAATGAAATCAGTGCAATCAATGACCCCAGCAGCTCGGTTCAGTCCTGCTGCACTGGAGGCTCTGGGGCTCACTGTGAGTCTCCCATTGACGTCAGCGAGTGCAAATGTAAATCTCAGCTGGCTCTGATAAATGCTGCTGCTAATTGAATTAGAGAGCACTCCGAGCCACCAGCTAATTATGCTCCTCAGGAAGCTGCTTTGCCAAGGTCCATTTAATTCTATATTGGCTGAATGCTCCGAATCTGGCACAGAAAAGGGGAAATATATCACAGCTCCCCTCTGAGGAGCACATATTTTCCAGCTCTTTAGGGCTGAGCTGTCTGCTTGCTCCAAACACTTGGGTTTTCCATCAAAAAAAAAATAAAATTCTCTGTGCAAAATTAATGATTGGGTCACCTTGCAGGAGCATAGCATTGATAAGAGGCTGTCTTGTTCCCTTTAATGCTGTTTTCCTCGGGTTGTTTTCCATATTTTTGTTTTTAAAGTAGCTGAATTACTTCTGAAATGTGTGTGTTGGTACAGAACTTAACCTCCAGAGGAAGTGCAATCATTAAAGGGCTTTCAGAGAGCTTTGATCATGAGCTTCTTGTGGCTGGGAGGCTCTGGGACCCGCCCAGGTGGCACTGGGACCTGCCCAGGTGGCATTGGGACCTGTCCTTGTGTCTCTGGGACCCGCCCAGGTGGCAATGGGACCTTCCCAGGTGGCTCTGGGACCTGTCCTTGTGTCTCTGGGACCCGCCCAGGTGGCACTGGGACCTGCCCAGGTGGCATTGGGACCTATCCTTGTGTCTCTGGGACCCGCCCAGGTGGCAATGGGACCTTCCCAGGTGGCTCTGGGACCTGTCCCTGTGACTGGAACTGGCCCAGGTGTCTCTGGGACCTGCCCAGGTGGCTCCGTGGCAGAGTTCAGCCTCATTCCTGCCATTCCCTGCTCTGCTCCTGCCTCTCCCAATCTCAGGTTACAAAATGCAGTTTTAGGAGGGATCTCTCACCAGTGCAGGTGTCCAAGTGCTGCCAGTCCACGTTAGTCTGGGAATCTGGGAACATCTGGAACATCTTCACTTGGGATTTCCTTCCATCCCACAACAGCTTCCTCTGGCACTGCTGGAGCAGCTTTTGAGCTGTTTCTCCTGAAATTCAGGCAGACACAGGCTTAGCTCCAAGGCTCACTGTGCTCCCAGCTCTGGGAGCTGCTCTGTCCTGCAGCAGTGCCTCTTTCAGAGCCCAAAATCCCTGGCAAAGCAGCCCCTGCTCAGCCAGCCTGGAGCAGCCCTGCTGCTGGGAGCCGAGTGCTGATCCAGGCTCCACACACTCCATCTCCGGGGGACAAATTTAGCAGCAAATGCAAATAGAACATTAAATATATTCCCTGTCATCTGTCACCCAGCCCCTTCCGTGTGCCATCTGCTGTCTGAGGTGGCTGAGCTGACACGGGGAGGTGACAGGAGGTGAAGGTCCCCTCTGTCTCTGAGCTGGGGAGGCTGCAGGAGCTGCTGGTCCCAGCTGAGCCCAGCCAGGCTGTGCCAGAGCCTCGGCAGCCCCTGGGGAGATGCAGCTCCCAGTGGCTGTTCCTGCCTTTGTTTTTCTGCTGCGTTTTTGAAAGATCTCCAGTGCAGGCAAACAAAACACAATCCGTCTTTCTGATGGGGGAAAAAAAAATTAATAAAATTCGCTCGGATTGGGTGTGCAGAGCAGCAGAGCTGGGGGAGAAGTGGCCAGCAGGAGTGTGCCATCCCTGAGCACTCAGCAATGCAGATCTGGGAGTCTGAGAGCTGCTGCTGCTGCTTTTCCAAGGTTTCTGTGGCTGGGGTGACACTTGTGGCTGGCAAGGTTGATGTTTTCCCATCCAGGTGATCTTAAAGACACAAAAAGAGCAGCTGTGGTGCCGAGGAAGCAAAGCTCTGCCTCAGCCCCGATTTCAATGGGTTGCTCAGATTTTTGAAGCCTCACCAAGCTCAGAGCTGCTGCTGAAGGAGGTTTTATTTGTCCACTTCACACCGAAACCCGGACCGTACCATTAGTGAGAGAATCCATTCATTCACAATGCCCTCAGCCAGCACAGCTCCAGCAATTAGCAACCCAATCAAAGGTGCTAATTTCACCCAGACATCATTAAGCCCTCCGTGCTCCACTGGTCCCGTTTTTGAAAGGCTGTGAAATGCCAGCTCCCAGCCCTGGCAGGGCGTGGGGTGAGTGTGGGTTTCGAGCTGCCCAGCCCTCTGTAATTCAATATTTCCACAGAAGATCGGCTCCAGAGCCAAACTGCAAAATGCCAGTGCCCACTGGAGCTGCTTTTTGCTTCTCAGAGAGGCCTGGGGGAAAAAGGATGGGATAGAAAAGATGGGATAGAAAAGATGGGATAGAAAAGAGGAGATTCCAGGGGGGAAACGGCCCCTTCACCTTCACAGTGCCCCGAAAGACAGAGCTGTGTGACCCCCAGGAGCCCCTGCTTGCTGATATCTGGGATTTCATGTCTTTCAATAATTACAGTTCAGTTGAATTTCTCTCAATAATTTCAATACTCCATAATACTCTCAGTAATTATCTCCCTGCCCTCTGTCCCACTCAGTCCTGCTGGAAATGGACGGTGGGCACGAGGATGTGTTGGATTTGTGTTGAACCCCGGATAAGGAGGGAATTATGAATCTGACTCCATGGTCTCAGAAGGCTCATTTATTATTTTATGATACTATATTGTATAAAATAATACTATACTAAGATTTCCCTCTAATATAAATCCTCCCTTTTAATTTTAAATTCTTAGGGAATTTAGGGGTTTTCCTTCCCCATTGTTTCTTTCATCTTTCAATATCCAATTTCATTTATCAGCAAACCTAAAGTTTATTTGCAAAAGCAAATCTCTTTATCCATTCATCAATCAGTGGAATCCTTCCCATTGTTTCTTTTCTCTCCCAGTGCTGGTTTTATCCACCAGCAGCCCCACAGCTTGTTTGGAAATACAAATCTGCTATTCCTCTCATAAATAATACAGAAAGAATACTTACAGAATGCTAAAAAGGTAATAATGAAAACTTGTGACTCTCTCCAGAGTCCTGACACAGCTTGGCCCTGATTGGCCAAAGAGTGAAAACAACTCACAACAGAATCCAGTGAAAGAATCACCTGTGGGTGAACAGTCCCCAAATACATTCCACATGAGCAAAACACAGGAGAAGCAAATGATATAAAATTGTTACATTAAAAAAAATAAAATAGATAAAAAATAAAATAAATAAAAAATAAAATAAATAAAAATAAAATAGATAAGAAATAAAATAGATAAAAAATAAAATAGATAAAATAAATAGATTTTTTAAAAATATAAAAATAAATAGATGAAAAAATAAATAGATAAAATTGTTTTCCTTTTTCTCTGAGGCTTCCCAGGAGAAAAATCCTGGGCGAAAGGGATTTTTCAAGAGATTTCTCAAAGGGATTTTTGCAGAGAACGTGAATGCCACACAGCCTGGACTCTTAGACCTGTGCCAGCCAGCTCTGGTGGCACCAGGAGGAGAGGGTTGGGCGCTGAGGGGATGATTTATTTTATTTTTCCTTTCCCTTCCTGCTGCCCCAGGTCCTCGCGGCTGCTGCGCGCGTTCTACGTCCCGCTGCTGTCGGAGCAGCACACGCGCTACGCCAACTACAGCATCCTGAAAGCCCGCAGGAGGCAGCCCAGGAGGAAACTGGGGGGCTAGGACACACCTGGGCCAGCCAAAATCCCACCCAGAGCAGCTGCTGGCACTCCTGGAGAGCCCCCGAGGGAAGGATGGGGCTGGGAGGGTTCCCTGAGCAGCCCTGGCAGCCTCCGCTCCTCCGCCTCGAGCCAGTGGAAAATCCAGCAGCCACCTGTGGATGGGGTGTCCCTGCTGCTCCCTGTGTCCCCTCCTACACCAGAGAAGAGAAAAATGGAAAATGAGATGGGGTATCCCTGCTGCTCCCTGTGTCCCCTCCTACACCAGAGAAGAGAAAAATGGAAAATGAAATGGGTTATCCCTGCTGCTCCCTGTGTCCCCTCCTACACCAGAGAAGAGTAAAATGGAAAATGAGATGGGTTATCCCTGCTGCTCCCTGTGTCCCCTCCTACACCAGAGAAGAGTAAAATGGAAAATGAGATGGGTTATCCCTGCTGCTCCCTGTGTCCCCTCCTACACCAGAGAAGAGTAAAATGGAAAATGAGATGGGGTATCCCTGCTGCTCCCTGTGTTCCCCTCTTACACCAGAGAAGAGAAAAATGGAAAATGAAATGGGTTATCCCTGCTGCTCCCTGAACCCCCCATACACCAGAGAAGAGAAAAATGGAAAATAAAATGGAATATAAGATGGGGTATCCCTGCTGCCCCCCAAACTTCCCTTACACGAGAGAAGAGTAAAATGGAAAATAAAATGGAAAATAAGATGGGTTATCCCTGCTGCTCCCTGTGTTCCCCTCTTACACCACAGAAGAGTAAAATGGAAAATGAAATGGAAAATGAGATGGGGTATCCCTGCTGCTCCCTGTGTTCCCCTCTTACACCAGAGAAGAGAAAAATGGAAAATAAAATGGCCCTCTTACACCAGAGAAGAGAAAAATGGAAAATAAAATGGCCCTCTTATACCAGAGAAGAGAAAAATGGAAAATAAAATGGCCCTCTTATACCAGAGAAGAGAAAAATGGAAAATGAGATGGGGTATCCCTGCTGCCCCCCAAACTTTCCTTACACGAGAGAAGAGTAAAATGGAAAATAAAATGGAAGATAAGATGGGGTACCCCTGCTGCTCCCCGTGTTCCCTCTTACACCAGAGAAGAGAAAAATGGAAAATAAAACAGGGGGTGGCACCTTGAGGTTCTACTCCGGGCTGCAAATGTGGGAAAATCCAGCTCAAATTCTCTCTGTGTCTCCCCCACCTGCCCCTCTGCTCTCCTCACCTGCTGTGGCTTTCACCCAGGGAATTTTTCTTTCAGGTAACAAAGTTTAGGAATTTTCCAAAGGGAAAAGGAGGAAGAACACCTGACAGTGAACTGGAATGCACTGGATCTCCAGGAGTGAACCCTCGTGCACCACAGAGGAACAGCCAAAGCTGCTCTGTCCAGGAGACATTGCCAGGGAAAAACCTCTGCTTTTGGGAAGAAAAAACCAAACTGGGACAATTATGTGTTTAATGGGATCAATGTTTGTGTTATCTGTGAAGCCAAGTGTGTGTTTGCTATTTATAATGATTTTTTTCAAGATCCTTTGACTTCTGGACTTCAGCATCTTAAAAATTCTGGAATCATCCAGAGAGGAGAAGGATGAATCCTTTCTTTCTTAATTTTTTTTTTGCAGTTCTGTTTCCCAGAATAGCCAGGATGTGTTACGTGGGTCCAACATGCCTCAGAGCAGTGCTGTGCTTGTTAAATTTCCATTTTTAAATGTGCAGCATCACCAGCTGGATGGAGGGAGCTGTTTTCACTCACATGCCTGGAACTCTGTGGGATTGGGATTGGGATTGGGATGGGATGGGGTGGGATTGGGATTGGGATGGAGCAGAGGGAATGTTCTGCACCTCCTTCGTGCTGTGGCTGTGGTTGGGTTGCTCCGAGCAGGGGGCTTGGGGAGCAGATTTGGATGTTTGGGATCCAAAAAAGGAAAAGCTCTGGGGATCCCTGTGTTGGTTCAGGTGGTGGGTGCAGCTCTCAGCAGGGTGGGAGGGCTGGGATCCAACCTGGTCCTGCTGGGACAGAGCAGGAGGAGCTGGAAGAGCAGCAAGGCTGGGCTGAATCACAGCATCAGCCTCAGAAACAGGAGGAGGTTCTGAATCCCATTAAGGGATTTTTTTCTTAATGCTTGTGCTACAACCAGTGCCCTGCCTGGGGCCTGGATGGTCACACCAAGGAGGATCCCAGTGCCCCCCACTCCCTGGGGCAGCAGCTGGAAGCTGAGGCTCTAAATTCAGATTTAGGGGGTGTCTGAGTGGTGCCACCCCTGGGGAAATGCGGGTCCCACCTTCCCAGGTGGCAGCTGGGGAGCTCTGAGGGTTTCGTGCAGTGGCTGGGGAGGGCAGAGCTGGCACCAGGTTCTGTGTCTGTGTCCATCCTCTCCCCCCTCAGGGAAGCGCACCCAGGGCTCTGTGGTGCTGCTGAATCCAAACCTGGGCTTGCCCTGCTGGCTGCTCCTCCCTTGCTCACCCCTGAGCTGGAGTCACAGCAGGCACAGCCCGAGCAGGGATGGCAGCAGCTCTGTCACTGTCACTGTCCCTGCCCTCAGCCCTGGCTGGTGTGGGCACAGTGCTGTGAGCACCCACTGGAAACCACTGTGCCTGCTCCACCTTCCTTTCCTGTTCTGGAGCTGATAACTTGGCCATAATTAGGAGTTACCAGCCTTTTCCAGAGGAACACAGCGAGTGTTTGTCCCAGGGAGTGAGCAGGGGCAGTGCTCAGCCCTGTGGGTTCTGCTGGGGAGGTGAATTGCTGGGTGAGTGTTAGACAGGACAGATCCCACCAACAAACAGCTTTTCACAGATCCCACAGGCTGCAAACACCTTGTGGGAGCACTGGGGGTAGGATGGTGGGGATGGACAGAGATGAGAGATCTCTGAAACCAGGGCCTGGAACTTGGGGTTTATTGCAAAGGGCCAAGTGCAGGGCCCTGCTGGGAGCTGCCAGGCACAGCTGGAGCAGGAGTGAGAGAAGAGAGGGGAGAGAGTAAAAGGGAAAGAGAGTAAGAGGGTAAGAGAGCGAGGTTCCCATTACAACACCATTAAATCTCCTTCTGTGTTGAATATTCTAATTCTCACTGACCAATCCAGTACAAGATACAAATCCTACAGCATTTCCATACAGCCTATAAGAATCATTACATCACCATCCTGTGTCACATTTTAAACCCTACAAACTCCTCTTTGGGCCCCTTCTGCCAAGCTGGCAGGGTCTGCTCTGCCCCTTGGGGCTGTCTGCAAGCAGAGGGTGTTGTTCCATCAAAAGGGGATCACCTTCAGCAGCCACACCATTGTTTTCCAGTTGTTCAGTAACTGAGGGATCTCAAAGCTTGCTTTCATTTCAATCTCACTGATAGTTTCCATATTCTCCAGATCTTTTGCCAGGCAATCACATTGATAAGGCTTTCCTGTTTGATCTCCCCCAGCACACCTTCTCACAGATCTCACAGGCTGCAGACAAACATCTTTGCACAGAAAGGCTGAAGCTCCTGAGTCCCCCCCAGCAGCTCTGGGCTGCTCCTCGTGGCATGGATGTAACCCCCGTCCAGCCTGAGGGCGTTCAGAGGAATCCTGTGTTGAAACGAGCAGCTTGGGCAGGCTCCGAGTGAGCAGCAGGGTGGGGAGCTGCTCCCTGGGATGCCCCAGCCTCAGAGCAGCCTGTCCAGGTGCTGCCCAGCCCAGCCCTGTTCTCTCCCTTGCACAAAGCCCAGCCTGGTTTGACCTTTCCTGTTTTTCATCCTCCCCCGGGAGCTGCTGGGGAAGCTCCAGCACTTGGAGTCAGCGGCTCCAGGGCTGTGGATGTGGCGGGGGGTGATTGCACCCTGCCAGCTCTGGGCTGGGCCCTGCCTGGTGCTCAGGGCACGGCAGGGTCGTGGTCTCGCCCTGATTTTGGCTTTTCCACACCCCTGGCAGCCTCTGCAGCAGGTGCCAGGGGTGCTCAGGTGTGAGAATCCAAGGAGAGGAATTCATTCCCAGGTTTGGCTCCTTCCCTTCACAGCTTCCTGGGAATCTGCTCCCAGGACAGGAGCTCTGTGCAGCTCTGCCTGAATCACACCCAGCCCAAACCCTATTATTAGACTCTGCAAACTGCTGCCTTAGAGACAGCTTTGCTTAAAAACCCCCATGATTTTCTCTCTGCCTCTCCAAAGCTGGCAAGGCAAAGGGATCTCTGCTTGGCCAGCACCTGCCTGAGCTGCTGTGGGAGCTTCTCCCCACCTGAGCTCCTCCTTCCAGCCCCCCAGATTCCAGATGGGCATGGTGAGACATCCACCCCAATGTCAGCAGGGTGGCAAATCCCAGATCCCAGCTGTTTCTGGGATCCTTCAGCTCTCCTCTGCAGGCTGTGCTCAGTGCTGGCTGCACTCTTGGACCTCTGTCCCTCCTTTCCAGCCTGAGGAGCGTCCCTGGTGGGGACCTTGGGGACCAGGGACAGAAAGGGAGGGAGGTTCCCCCTCTCCAGCCATGGAAACCACCAGGAAGAGCTGAAAAACGCTTTGAACACCTGCAGAACCACCAGGAACACATGAAAAATGCTTTGAACACCTGCAGAACCACCAAGAACACCTGAAAAATGCCTTGAACACCTGCAGAACCACCAGGAACACCTGAAAAATGTGCATTTCTCAGGTGTTCCCATTCGGGATATTCCATGAGCTGTTCTTTTTGCTGGTGAGTTCCCAGATGAGTTTCTGTGGACTCTGCACTCCCAGAGGGGGGATCTGAACTGCTGATGTGTTCTTGTGCTCTGTTCTTCACGCCCTAAATAGCCCAGGCCAGTTCTGCTCAGCTGACTGAGGTGCTGGTGCTGCTTGGACAGCAAACCCTGCCCAGGGAAAGTCTCACAGGCAAAAGCTGAGTTCCTGCAGCCTCTGCAGAGGAATCCCTCATCAAACAGGGCAGGGAGGGTCCAGCATCTCCCCGGGAGGAGCTGGGCTTGGTTTCCTGCTCTGCTGGAGCTCTCTGTGCTCCACTCTGGCTCCAGGGCTGTGGAGAACCCATTCCCCTGCCATGGGAATTCCCTGGGTGCTTCCAGCTCCTCTCTGGGGACTGCTGCAGCCTCTGGGGTTCCTCTGCCCTGATTGTGCAGATCAATCATCCAGCACCACCTTCCAGAAATATTTGCTGAGGGATTTCCCTGCGTCCTTGTGGCTGGGGAGGGCTCCTCCTCCGTGCCACCAAAAGGGAGGACGAGCTGGCTTTTCCCCCTTAACCAGTCAATATTTACTGTGCCAGGCAAGCTGTGAAAATGCTGCTGCTTTCTTGGTTTTGGTGTTTGCTCCTCCTGCCCCAGAGTCTCCCACACTGGCAGCTCCCGTTTGTGCAGCAGTGGCACGGGGGTGCTCCTAAAGACAGGGCTGGGGGCACCTTCCAGGACCTGCCAGGTCCTGTTTGCATCCTCCCCTCTGACAGGGCAGGGCAATGAGGGGCTGAGCTCCGGGGCCCCTTTTTGTGGGGTTCAGAGCAGGACATGCCCCTCTCAGGGGCTGCTTTGTGACTCAGGCCTTGGGCAATTCCTGCTGGGCCAGAGATGCTGGATCTTCAGGGGGTTTTGGGGTGGTTTTGTGGCGTTTTTATGGTGTTTTTGTGGTGGTTTTGTGGTGCTTTTTGTGGTCTTTTTGTGGTGTTTTTATGGTGTTTCTGTGGTGGTTTTTTTTTGACCTTGCTGCATGCAGAGCTGGTGGATCCCTTGGCAGGGGAAATCGAGCACCTCTTTCCTTTTCCAGCAGCACCTGTGAGAGTTCTGTGACCAAACCCAAGGGGAAGGGTTAAAACCCTTCAGAACCTGAATTACCTGAACCTTGGGATGGCCCAGACAGATGTGTTGGCATGGCAACACATCTGTTCCAACCCATCTGCCTCAAAAAGGGCTGGAGTTTGGGTAGGGGAATTCACAGGATGATTTTTTCAACCCCAAGGTGAAATCCTCCTTCCACAAAAATCCAGGAGGGAAGGGAACAGGGATGGTTTCCAGCAGTTTTTAGGAGTCCTGATAACCTTTGCCAGAGCCCTGTCCAGAAGGATTTTTGGTGTGTGCAGCATTACCTGGAGCTTTGTCGCTGCAAGTCCTCGGTCTCTTTATTTTCAATTACTGGCACACTTGACTTCCCCATTTCTGCAATTCCTGTGATCCCCAAGAATGTTTTTCCAGAGAGGAACTGACATTTCCTGCCCTGCCTTTCAGCTCAGCGTTGCCTTTCTGCTTCTCCAACAAGAGGCTTGAAGATCCTCCCTGGCGAAGTCTTTGATTTGCCAGAGTTGCTTGGCTGCAGCAGGAAACTTTTCTCCTCCTCTGCAAGGGGAAGGCAGAGCTCCTTAATTGCTTTCTGCAGCTTGGCCCAGTGAAATCCATCTCTGTGCCCTCGGAGCTGAAGCCAAAAAATAAAAAATATCCCCAATAGGAAGAGCATTGCCCTGGTACCCCTTCAACCTCCCCTGGCACATCTCCAGCTGTGGATTTCTCCCCAATATTCAACCTAAACTTCTCCTCTCCCAGTTAGAAAGGTCCTCATCATACTGTTCAATGGCACAATGGCACTTCTAAGTGGTTGTTTTTTGGTTTTTTTCTCCAAAAGAATTAATTGTAAACTGCCTAAAAATAAGCCTGGAGAGACTCAAGAGGGGAAGGGAACCTCAGCTCCTGCATTGTCCACTGAGGGAGGGGGGAAACCTTTCCAGGCCCTGAATTAGAACAATATGATGAGGACCTTCCTAACTGAAAGAGGAGAAGTTT